CAGCATGCTCACAGATGTATGTGTGTCCTATTTTTCCCTTCCAAGAGCAACTTAACATTCAAAACATTACTAGTTTATCATCCTGGGCTCGTGCAGCAAACTGCCGACTGACATTGGGACCCCCACTGGTGGATCTCTTATGGCTGATCAGTGGTTGCTTTTGGCAACCGTATATGGCCTGATCATCATATGTTTCATTGATGCTTGACATCAAGCTCACAACCTATACAGGCATAGGTACCTCAGATTTGGGACAGTTATCTACCGCGCCAGACGTCTGATGAAGCACCCTTTCGCCGCATCTCCACGATTGAGCAGGCCGAAACCGAGAAACAACAGGAAGCTTCCCAGAAGGCTAACAACAAGATGTCCCTCGCAGAAGCCAAGAAACGTGGAAGGGAAGCTTTTGAAACTGAAAAGTCCCGTATCGTGCAGGAGAATATGGCCATCGCTGAGGCAAAGAAGCAGGAAAAGCTCCAACAGCTGGTAGTAAAGCAAGCCGAGAAGGCGCAGCAGGCCGAAGTCAAACGAGTGAGTTTCACATACATCTTCGTGTACTTCTACATACTACATATGGGTTTCCATCCCAGGCGCAGAAGAAATGAAAGGCAGTGACCCAGATTGTCAAAGACTTGCCTGAAGGTCAGATACATGGCCCACCTCCCCCTCCAGGCGATGCAGAGACACCCGAGGTTCCTGAAGACCGCAATGAGCAACTCAACCTTCATCCTACTGATCCAGCGAACTTTCTTAAGCTGTCCTTGGCCATCTGTATTCTCATCAAGCACACAATCAATGACCACGATATCACCGAGGCTGATCGGTTACTACGTGAATACAACATTGAGTTGATTAAGGTATGTCATCGCCCAGACTATACATCAATATTAATGACACTAATGTGCTTGAACTTAAGCTCTATGGATCGAGTGCCATAAAGCCAAATCATCACTATTCCACACACGTCGGCAACTGCACTTGCAACTTCAGACTGCTGCATGACTTCTGGATGTTTTTATTTGAGTGCCTTAACAAGGTTCTGAAGTCCTTCAAAGCAAACAACCACACAAATGGCGAACTCGAGATGACCTTTTTCAAGGAGTTCCATCGCACATGCAAGAGCTTGAGGGTGGTAAGTGCAACACGTTCGTAAATTGGAATACAAATACTATTTTACTGACTACGGAACTCTAGATCTATTCTCTGCGTGCCAATCCCGTGAAATCCCTCAGCTCAGAAGCTGCACAAATCATGCAGAAGGCTATGCATGAGGAACATGGAACCATCACAGGGCTTGCTGCCCTCTGCAATGATCTTGATGAGGTCAGCGCAGATGGTGAGTTACCCTTGGCGCAGAACAAATGGATGGCCATCTGACCATAGACTGCATAGCTGGGATAACTTACTCCCTAAGTCCATGCTGTCATGAAAACATCTTCTCATCAGAAACTTATCAATTACTTGCTCATACACTCAATGCGTGCTTTCTGCTTTCACCAGTGCACTGCCAACACGAGCAGCCAACTACTCCTTGCAGTATTCCTCTCAATCCCAACAGCATCTTCTATGACTATGTTGTGATAAATGGAAAGCAATTTCATGCTTCAAGAGCAGTTGGCACTCACCGGTCTTCCCTAGTTCACATCATGATACCAGGTCAGGTACCTACACATGGCTATGGAGAGATACTGGAGATCTTTCAGCTGGATCAACCCTTACACGATGGGAAGCAACACTTATGGTTTGTGTGCATGCGGTGGTTCAAGCCATACCATGGGAACCAAAGGACGATTTGGGACGACTTGTACATCGTCCTATTTGACCTACTAACCATTGTTTGCACTAACATCATGAAGTTCTGCCGTAGATGTCTGATTATGGGAGCTCGGGGAAGACCAAATGCAAGAATCACACCTCCCTTCGCTCATGGAATTCAACTGGATTGGTAACTTACTGGCATTAACTGTTGTTTCACTCAGAGAGGATCAGTGCAAGGTGTGGGCAACAGTAGACCTTGCAAAGGTGCGTAGCATTATCATTTACTGATACCCAGCTTGCTACTCAATCAATACTCAGTAACTGGAGTCTAGACATTCATGTATTACAAGGATGGATGGTAAATTAAACATGATGTTTGTTAATTTTGTAACAGAGCATCACAAATCCTACAACATGTGTTGCTCAGAACGTGAACAGCAAAGCAAAGTTTCAATACTCGTTTTCGTCATCCGATGACCCATTTTCATTAGACGTCTTGAGCCATTCATCCAATTCTTTGAGGTAGGTGGCATCCACCTTGAAAAGCTCTTCTTGGTTGACGCGAGAATAGAAGCCTTTTAGCCAGCTGATGCCCTCGTGCACCACCATTCCTGGGTGTTCATCTAACCACCTCTCATCTACCATCACCCTGAAGACCATGGCCTTTGCCGGTGGCATGTCACGACTCAAATGCTTTGGGGCGACGTCAAAGACCCATTTGTGCACCTTCTTCGTGGTTTTGCAACATTTACGCTGTGGTTCCTGATTCATATTGCTAGTATTCACGTTCAGGTCCTCAGTTACATCTTGCCACTGCTTCGTGGCATGCATGCTGAGATAGCGCAGAAATGCAACATACTAATATGGCCGGATTTGTGAGTCACCTTTGCCGCTCAGATATGAATTTAACTTACATCGACTGAGCGCCAAGCCAGACCTACAACCCAGTTTGCAGATTGCCCAACCTCTGCATCCTTCCTTTGCTGGAGCGTGTCGTCGCTAACCTCGTCGTTGTTGCAGCTGATAATATCAGATCTGAGGTCAGTAAGGATGAGGGCTTCTGCGCCCTGATGTCCAGTTTCCGCTTCGTACTGTGACGCTGCCTTGCGTCTAGCTGTTGCAACCTACCAGTATGTCAGGCACACTTGGGCGTGATATCTGTGAGAGTTCGAGTACCGTAACATGCCGAGCTCGCTGACAATTCTGTCCCAGCCTCTCCTTAGTCCTGTGTGCACCTTGATCGCTCATTTCCTCTTTTACCCTTTTGTGGATCATGCAGAAGTATGTTTTCACACAATCTTTCATTATTTGGAGGTCGAAAGACTTGTTGGGTATGGTTTTTAATTGGAGCTGTTCCCTCTGGCTCTATTGCATGTTGGGTGAGCGCTTGCAATTCTCATATTATTCACATGCTACCAGATGATACCTTTTCATTATTAAAGACATGCTCGGTGACTTCTTTAATGAACATGTCATTCAGTTTGTCATCTACGTTGCCGAGCCAGTTGGGGCGCCAAAGACATGTGCTGTCACTTGTCAATATGAAAGGTTCGTCGTTCTCAAGTGGTTTGATAGCAGCAAGGGCTGCGACACGGTTTCTTTTTGTCCCTTCACACTCGATTCCACACATGTGAGAGAAGAGCGGCTGGATAATAGACTGGTGCCTGGTGAGTGTGCACTCCAATACTGAATGATAGCGTAATGTACCTTGAGAACAGAATGGTCATTTGAATTTGTTCTTGATGAAGTATGCTTCTGTTGATCCACACATTTCTCCTGCAGTTCTCTAAGCATTTGCTCGACAGTTTCAAGGCACAAAACGAGAGATTCAGTTGCCTCCCTGATGCTGGTAAGCTGTTCTTCCATGCTGGTGTTGGCCTCGCTGAGGTGTTTGACATGAGCCATGAGCTGTGCAACCATAGCATGCAAGCTAAGCTGGTCTCCTTGGTAAGATCCAGTTCGAGAGCAGGATGCTGAATATAAAGTCTGATAGTCTTCCATTGGCGTCTCACTATGTCCTCTGCCATTCGACTGACTATGGGAAGGTCTTCCAGCATACAAGAAGGACGTTTCGTCACGACTGTTGACACCCCCATGGTAAGGAGTGAAGCCAAGATGTTGGCTTGGTTGGTTTCCTCGGTGTGGATAGGATACCTTGTCCTGCGATCCCTGCGAATCGACAGCACCGGTCAGCTCCATCATATCAAAGGAGAACTCGGGTGACAAGAGCTTGGCAGATAGGGTGAGTTGATTGACTGACAACAACGATTAGTAGTGACTGACTGATGGTCCACCATGGTCTCTTCACTGAGCAGGGCCAGGGCCAAATGGATCATCTAGGCCTGGCACAGAAGGGAGGTGAGTGCCCTGCAGGGTGTTTGAGGGCGCCATGTTCATCTGTGGTACGTGATGTCCACATGTGATGCTATTAATATTCTGGCTCAATGACTGGGATCCAGGTATCGCTCCACCACTCGGAAGTCTTTGGTGTTGAAGGTGCAAGGAGCTGGAGGGCGTCATGTGTGTCTGGGTCTGTGGTATGTGACAATTGTGATGAGTTCCCTCCTGGCTCATCAACTGGGACCCAGGCGTCAGCGGTGGGGCACCACCTGTGAGCCTCTGTGAATGCATCATATCCTGCCATTCACCAAGGAGAGCAAGCAAACATGGGCGATTTTTTTGCACGGCTGGGGGTGCTGGGTAGGCATTTTGGAAGCACATGTTGTACTAGGCACTCATTGAATATAATCTGATCTGGTTATCCTGAAAAACATGACTGAAGGCGGGAGGATCAATTGCATTTATACGATTTAACTCAGTGTACATAGCTCATAGTCACATTTGAATCTGATCTGATTATTGTTGCGAAGGTAAAAATCGTCATGGTGATAGGCATGCAAATCCGACCAGATTATGCTCCGAGACGAGAACACTTCGGCACTATATTCAGACATATTATTAGGAGTAGCTACCCTCGGGATATACAACGGTTATTGTCATTGACCCGACTATCTCCGGACCTGATTAAAAACCCATTTCCGCAGTGAATGACCAACTAGCAATAGCGAAGGGTTTCCTATGGCCGTTTGTTTGATCAGTGTGCGTGCACTTACATTGGCTGGTGACTCCGGATTACTATGTGTGCAGTGCTCGGGCCTGGCCAGACGGTAGAAAACTTGTGGCTTGACACTCCTCGGTATTTCGTCTGTAGGGAGACAAAAGTACAAGCTATGTAACATGTAGTATACGCAACACATGGATGCTTTTATTTTACATCTCTGGATCATGACAAGAAGTGGCTACCGGGTCTATGAGGAGAGGAAGTGATAATACATGCACTGATTCTGTGGTCGGAAATCCGATGGAAATACAGGATAACGCTTAACTTAATGTTTTTGTTGTAGCTAAAACGTTATCAGAATTGGAATCGCTTGAGGCCAAGCAAGCTACTTACACCGCATTCAACCACTGTGCGATTGTCCCAAGAACCTGGAAATCTGTCATCAATGTATCATCGTACCCCGGTGTATCAACCGAAACAATGATGCGAGCGCCATCGGAGTGGAGATATCGGATAGGACGCACTTCCTTCGCACAAGAAGTTGATCCACAACCCACATCAGGTCTTCCAACCGCTCGATCAATAAACTAGGCACATTAATCGAGGAGAATCCGTAGGAACATGTGTGGTATTCACTGTGGTCTTCCCCGAGGCGGTGGGACCCATGACACTGCCGATGATCACTAAGGTCTAGGATCCACAAGTGAGCTATACTGACGTAGGGCAATAATGATATCGTCCGCGCTAATCACAGCCTCTTCAGTCTGCGATGTTGTGGGCGTTATTTGCTCACTCGCTTTGCCCAACCTGCTTTCGAGGTTGGCAGTGGTGTCATCTGGTCGGGTGTTGGGATGCAGGTGAAGCCTGTCCAGCCAGGTGTTGACATTCCAATTACTCTTTGGCAGTGATGTTCGACGGTCATTCTCGTACGCCTCGCAATTAACTGTATTGTCCAAAGGACTCGAAACCGCCGCAAACCGGAAAGACTCCCCTTCGACTTCGTCGACCCCACTCCTCATTGGAGAGCGAGATAGAGAGCAAGCCTATTTCCGCTATTAACTGAGGGGGTGCGTGAAGAAGTGGTTTACCTGTGACGGAGACATGAGGAAACGCAGGGGGATGCTACAAGAAGGCAAGGCCAGGGTTTGGGCTTGAACATGCACTGCACTGCATTTGGCATAGCGTCGTTAGTAGGTCACTCGCAAAGACTAATCGACCACCCAGATCGGACACGTGGATCACTTTTCGATTGGACATCCTTGTCCTTTCCACTTCTTGGCGATACCACAAGTCCTTTACGGGCTCAAGTGACAGAGAACGAGTCATCTTTTAACTGAAGGTGCGTGAAAGACTATTTACCTCCAACAGATATGTACCCAGACCGAGAATACGAAGGAAAGCGCCGCATCACGAGGTTTGTGACATGTATCGAACACACGACACCAGGTATGGAACGTATTGAAAGGCAGTGGCCGTCCTTGCTCCGCAAGCAAACTATCGGGCTTTGCAGGATCGAGTACATGTACAACAGCCCCAAGCCTCGGTTTGGGATAGTGATTGGTGGAGGCATATCGTTATCCGTGGGCGCGGGTTCGAAGAGGGTCGCGCAAAGTTGGCGCCTACGCCGCGGTTTTCATATCATCATGTTGGTCCCTGAGGTGCTTTTGCGGATCCTTCTTCGCCTACCAAAGTTATTTATCATCACCAATCGATGCTCCTCGACAAGTCTACATTTATTGCGGTACCACTTGTCATTTTGGAACTCGATCGTCCAGCAGCAGAAACGGGGACGACACAGATAGCAGCCCTGCTTCGACAGAACGCGTGGACAGCCAGAAGGAAGGTGGAATAATGTCGCGAGACACCAACAGGTGACTACCGCGAGCTGACCTATACAATTTCCAGGTTTAGGATTTCGCTGTCCGCAATACTAGCCATGTCCTGAATGCGAGTGGTGATCGCCCAATTACTTGCGATCCTCCTGATGCATCAGGAATTTCATGGTAGATCCACGTGCTGTGAGCCTTTGGGCTTCTCTTCCATCCTACCAAATACCAACAACAGTTTGTGATAGATACCCGATTGTCTTCTCGAAACGTGAAGTCGCGCTAGTGACTCTGGATTCAAGGCTTTCAGTTCGACAGTCTTTGATATCTTGTACACATTACATCTGTAGCATACATATACATGTTAGGAATGTTTTTGTTTTACATTTCGAAACAGACAGACTTTTACAGCGGCTAGTGTCTACGAGGAGGTATACTTGTGAGGTGTGAGGCAAAAAAGGTGGACCAGAGTACGAATCTACAAAAGACGATCATTTGAACCGCATAACATGTAGCATGGAATGGGAAGGGGGAGAGTCACGTTGTACAGCACAACTAGGGACACAAAAATGAACTTGTGCATGAACACCGTACATGCAAATGACAAAAAGAACCCACAACCAGCAAACGAGTAATACGATCCATAGCAATAGCCTAAACCTTGCCTGGAGAGTGAGAGGCTGACGCAGTCGCTTACAATACAGTATTTAGGGTGAATGGGTTTGCTCCGGCTCTACAGGAATGCCACAACTGCAATTGTCCTAATCAATGGTCATCAGATGACCACTCCGAGGCACAAAAAGGAGAGAATACCAACAGTCATCAAGGCCCGTTTCAGGGCCTCCAAACCATTGTCTACACTACGGAGATCGTATTTTATGGAAGATGCCGACTGCGGGAGTCATCAGCTGCAAGCAACATGGGTAGGCTGTTGCACGTACTGGAAGGATTTCGCGCAACAGCCGCATCGAATTCGCGCAGGAAGAAATAATATGGGCATCTGTCGACTGAAGGACTCGTCGAACTTCGGGTGTCCTTTCGGCAAGATCCTGGATGATTCCCTGCACGTGGTTCATTTCCCTAGCATGGCATTTCAGTTATCATAATGTGAGATCTATCCTCTTCTTACTTTGCGAAGTCGCTGACTGCCGCCTGTATATCTGACGAGAACTTCGCCTCTTTTGCACGCTCGGATGTGGCATTGATCAGTAGCGTGGCGGTTTCTAGAACTTGGAAAAATGCGTGGTGCGTTCCCGCCATGGTCTTTAGTAAAATGGTCATCGAATCTCTTCAACACCACGCCACCGACACACTGACCTCAATGGACAGAGCGATGTTAAGACACGGAGCGATCGCATCCTTGAGGTAGTGGGTATGGACAAGTTCCGATGCCTGCAAAGCAGGTATTACCCGACCCAAAGCACCCTGGTAGCCTTCCACGCTGCAAATTCCAGAACTGCTCATTCCCGTCCCAACGGGCTGAGTGTCGGTGAGATCATCATCGCTTAGGGTGACCGTGATTCTCGTCGTCCGATAATTCGGCCTCCCCGTAGCCTTTCTAATCCGTGCCAAAATCCCATCGGAGCCGAGCCTGAGGCTGAGAAGCCTGGAAACCATTTTTCCGGCAGATGTTTTATCAAGTGGTAGGTGTTTATCTACCATTTCCCGTTGGATTTGAAGCGGGCGACGCTCAGCCAGCCGTGAGAATGAAACTGCATCAATTATATCTCGAGCAGATTCGGTGGTCCCTTCGAAGCGGCGAGTGGTTGATCCTAAGCTGATCATCTCCCGCCAGAAGTCAGACTGTAGATCCTGTTCGCGCTCGGAGCCAATCTCTTCCCATACTTGATCCCACATCGTGGTAACGAATATGACATTCTTGTAGTTATCTTTGCCACAAAGTTCTTTGAAGATTTTGTAGTTCCTTGACGGTGCTTCTTCAATTCTGTTGTCTAAAATCCGATGGAAATATAGGATGCCATTCAGTTTGATCTTTCTGCTGTAGCTGAATCGGTATCAGTGTCGGAATCGCTTAAAACCAGGTAAGCTACTCACGTCGCATTCAACCACTCTGCAATTTTCCAAAGAACCTCGAAATCTGTCATGAATGAATTATTGCACCCTGGTGTATCAATCAAAACGACGTTGCGAACGCCATCGGGGTGAGGATATCGGACAGGGCGCACTTCCTTTGTGCAGGAAGTCGATCCGTGGCCCACATCGGGTCTCCCGACTGCGCGGTCGATAAACTAGGTACATTCATTTAGAAGAATGTTTACAGATGTGCGGGATGCTTACTGTGGTCTTCCCCGAGTCAGTAGGGCCCATGACACTGTTTTTGATTACTAAGGTCCAGGATCCATAAGTGAGCTACACGGACGCACGCAATGACGATATCGTCTGGGGTAATCGTAACTTCTTCAGTGGGCGATGTAGGGGGCGGTATTGCCTCGCTCGCTTTGTCAAGTCTGCTTTCGTGGTCAACAGTAGTGCCATCTCGACGGGCGCTGGGAAACAAGTGGAGCCTGTCCAGCCAGGTGTTGACATTCCAATTTCTTCTCAGCGGTGTGCGACGATCATCCTCGTACGGCTCGCATTCAGGTGGATTGCCCAAAGGAGCTGAAACGATGCTGGCAGCCGCAAATGTGGAGGCCTCCCCCTCCACTTCAACCCCACGCCTTATTGGAGAGTGAGATAGAGAGCGACCCTAATCCACTATTAGCTGAAGGAGTGCGTGAAGAACAGGTGGGTTTACCTGCGACGGAGACATGAGGAAACGCAGGAGAATGCTGGAAGAAGGCGGGGCTGGGGCTCAACACTGCACTGCATTTGGCATAGCACCACAAGGCAGGACACTCACACGATGATTACCCGGATGGGAACTTGAACGTGGTTAGTAACAGCCAGCACTCCGTGTGGAAAGCAAAAACTCTTTGAGCATGGTCATCCTCGTCCTTGCTACTTCTCGGCGGCGTCCCATGTCCTTTGGGGGGGAGGAAAGCAAGAGAGAACAAGCCGTCTTTCTTCTCTGTGCGTAACGGACGATGAGATTTACATTCAACCGAGACTCATCAAGAATACAAAGACAGACGCCACTGATTACAACGAGGTACTTGACATGCCTCGCGACGCACAACACGAGGTATGCAACGTATTGGAGGGCAGTGATCACCCTTGTTCCGCAAACAGGGCAGGACCCGGTTTTTCGGAATCGAGTACATACACAACTGCACTGATTCCCGATATCAGAAGGTAACGTCATTAGTGGGCGCACGTTCGAATAGTCCTTGGAAACATGCGGACCGGTGGACGCACACGTGTCCGGTTCTTGAGGATGATATAGGGTTGTTCCTGTTGAAATCCCTCCCACACACGCAGAATGATATCCAAGCCTGCAATTGTTGTGTATGTTCTTTGTTTTTATGAACGTTATTCAACATTCACAACTTCAATCTGCCTTAGAGTCATGGGACATGAGGGATCCGGGCGAAGCAATGTAAGTCCAGGAATCTCTACATTTCCGTCGTCGGTTAAATATGCGCAGTTTATCAACAGACTTATGAGAGGCGAAGGAGCAGAAGGAACACATGGGCTCGGGTCGCGTACACAGGGCATCAGGGAAATCGCGGCAAGACTGTCTAATAACCGAGAATATGTCTTTGTGGATACCCCTGGGTTCAACGACCCTGATAGATCGGCCAGAGATGTACTTCAAATGATTGCTGATTGGTTAGAGAGGAAGTGAGTCGACATGTATGGTCATGACCTGTTACTGGCTAACCAATGAGCAGATATCGAGGGGGTGCTCTTCTCACGGGAGTCATCTACACCCATCGAATTGCCAACCACCAGATGGACCGTTTAATGTGTAAAAGTCTGGACATATTTTGCTGTATATGTGGGGACAAAGCTGCTGGACGCGTCCGACTGGTGTCTACCATGTGGGACCAGGTGAAAGATCCTAGTGCTGCAGAGGCCATGGTGTCACGACTAGAAGGGAACTTCTGGAAGCCCTTACTTGACGCAGGTGCCCGCCATATGCGATTTGAAAATTCAAAGCAGTCCGCGTGGGACATAGTCAAGGACTTAGGAGCGGGAGGTGAGGCCCTTTTGCTCCAACAGGAGCTAGTAGATGCAGAAAGGACCCTATACGAGACGTTTGCTGGTCGCACTCTCTACCTGCAACTCCAGCAGCTCCTCCAGGAAGAACTAGAAATACGCAAGCAACTTTTGGGAGTTTCCGGGATGCGGACAGTTCGGAGTCCGATAATGCAGCAGCTCAAAGTAGAGTGCAAGAGCATCGAAACACAGCTGCAGAGCGCACGGAGAGCAAGGCGACGACAAGAGATGCGCCATCAATCCTACTGGCGCCGATTGTCATCACTCTTTTTCAATCCTACCGTTGCAATCCCGGAAGTTACGGAAAATGACCTTGTAATCTTGTGAGTGGTGGGATTCTAATCTTCTTTATCTTCCTTTGAACGCTCTCGTGCTCAGTGTGGTTGGCCCAACGGGAGCGGGCAAGAGCTGGGTATGCAGCGCGGACATTTCGTAATTGAGCCGGATATCCTAATTCATTGGTAGTTCACCAAAACGCTCTCCCAAAACGGAGTTGTTCAAGCCGGCGAGAATCGACATCCCTGTGTAAGGTGGCAGGTCAAAGCATCAAGGTACAACTTCAAGAACAGTACGAATGGTATTCTAGTTGTCGACACGCCATCATTTCATACAGATAATGACTTCTATGCTGAAGGCTCTATGACTTCTTGGTTGAAGTCGAGGCAAGTGCAAGAGCTTTCTATTGGAATGTTTTCAAATACCGCCGCAGGTTCACTAAAAAATGTCGTTCCGGCATCCTATTTCTCCACCCACTCGCCAAGGATCCTAGGGATCATGACGTACTGATGCAACGGCATCTCGATACGTTTGCAACGAGATTTCCTAACAAATCCATGATTCCTTCCCGCGTCTATGTAGTGCCGACTGCGAATTCAGTGGATGCGAAGCTAGGTCAACGGTTGCCGGAGCTGGAAAGACTGGCGGAGTCGTCAAACAGCAATGCTGACCGCAAATGGCATATATCGGTGTTCCCTGGAGTGTTCGAAGGCCAACCGGAAATAGCATGGAGTGCGGCACTGCTTCTCCTAAAGGATATAGTTGAAGCTCAGGTACACCTCTCCAGAGTGCTCGATAAACTCATCCGATGACCATATCTCCATTTCTGCATAGACAACCGAGATGTCCAGCTCTCGAAGACCCACATCAAAGGAAATACTTCCGAAACTTCCAGATGGCCGTGCGGCACTCAAAATTCTCGTGGATCACCTTTTCGAAACTTTCAAGGAGGAAAGGACGAACAGTAGTTTGGACGCCAAAATCGTACTCGGGCGACTTGCATGGGACGTCACTCCCGCGAGCGACCCTGCTCGCCTTTCAGCTGTCATCGCTTGCGCTGATCTTCTCTCCGAGCGATTCGAGAAGGAAGAGAGGAAGGCAGACTTGGACGAGGTTGTCACTCTCAGACGATCTGCTTGGGAATCTATGCCCCTGGATGATCCAAGGCGACAACGGACCCTCGCCACGCTGGACGATTCCCTCTACAAGCGCTTCAGGAGGGAGAGAGGTGTTGTGGATTTGGAGGAAATCATAGCTCTTCGCCGAACTGCGGAACGTGCTTCCCTGCCAGATCATTGTAGATCTCTTGTCCACCTCGCGAATGCCCTTAACGAAAGATACCGGATACTACGCTTAAAGAGTGACCTGGAGGAGGCTATTAAGCTCGCACGTGACGCGCTGGCACTCAATCCACCAGGTCACCCAATTCGTGCGCTGTGTCGGGGTTGTCTCGCGGACTGCTTCCAATCAAAGGTCAGGAAGGGGATCACCCGAGTTCACGCGGCGAGGGCGGTGACTGACGCTTCCAACTGCAATATCTCTGATGTCCAGAAACTGATCACAAGTGCCATCTCCGAGACCATTGCAAACAACCCACCACGGCTGCTACATGCGGAAACTGGCATCTTATGCGATCGGGATGCGCAACTATCCATTTTCGTGAATAGCTCTGAATACCTGGAGCTATATTCATTGACGTCTCCAGCGGAGATCCGTAAGAGGATTTTATTGTTCTTCCAGTATACCACGCTATCCCACAGATGGGGGATCCGCGAGCCATTACTACGCGACATTGAAGGCGAAGTGATCTATGACTTGGAGGGGACGGAGGGTCTGGCGAAACTCCAACAATTTTGTCTTTTCTCACTCAGACACAATTTCTCATGGGCATGGAGTGATACTTGCTGCATCGCTAAAGATAGCAGTGCAGAGCTTCAAGAGGCTATAGGATCCATGTTTTCTTGGTATCATCGGTCGTCCTTAACAATTGCGTACCTATCTGACGTCTCCGACGCCGGTTCACTAGCTAATAGTGTCTGGTTCAAGCGCGGATGGACTCTTCAGGAACTACTGGCTTCACGCACCTTGCTGTTCTATATGCAGGACTGGTCACTTATCATGCCCTCTGAAGCTGGAAACCACAAAATGGATCCCACTATACTTGAAGAGCTCCAAAAGGCAACGGGAGTAGCGGCGCGACATCTTAGAGACTTTTCTCCAGGTATGGAAGACGCGCGATCAAGACTCCGCTGGGCATCTGGCCGTCGTACCACCCGACCCGAAGATATCGCCTACTCTCTTTTCGGAATTTTCAAGGTCCACTTACCAGTCTTCTACGGCGAGTCTGTGCAAGATGCGCTTGGACGTCTTTTAGCAGAGATCGTATCACAATCAGGAGACATTTCGGTTCTTGATTGGGTTGGGGACGCGTCATCATTCCACAGCTGTTTCCCTGCCAACCTTATACCGTACCAGATGGTGCCCTGCGCACAGTCGATTCGATGCGACTCTACCAGACGCAATAGCCTGAATTTTGAGGGTGCACGGAAATTGTACAACACGCTTGCAAAGTTACCACGCCCGCGATTTGTCCACCGTAGGCTCATACTGTCTTCCATTGCCTATCGTGTCGTGGCGGCTAAACTACTAGAAAATGAAAATTCCACCAGCTCTCCAGGTTACACATACGAGATTCATGTCTCGCACCTGATGCCCCTAGTGGTCACACTGTCGGTTCATCTTGGGGAAGATCCCACAACATATATTCTCATTCGCCCTTGGTATCCAAAATGGGTCAAAACGCAAACGGAGAGCGAGGTCGACGCTACGTGGGAGTTGCTCGAACAACTCGAACAACCATTCAACGGACTTCTATTGACGAGACTACCCCACAACGAATACAAGAGAATTGCCAGTAATTGTGCGATCACCGCTCGCATTCAGGATATAGCTAGTATTGCGGACAGCGAAATCCTAAACCTGGAAATTGTATAGGTCAGCTCGCGGTAGTCACTTGTCGGTGTTGTGCGACACTGAGCGCTATCTCATTGGTTTCCCCTGTACGCGTTTTTCGATGTCAAATCTGTATTTTGAGTGCTAAGCATATAAACGGATGCTTAAATGTGCACACTTACGCAATCATGTATCACGTACAAGTCTTCCCTATTTATGTTTAACTTTGCACGCCATGGAAATCAACTTCCCCATCCTACCGAACATGCAATGACCGAAACTTGCATGGGTCTCTTTTGCTGGCCCCCGTGTAGGGATGGCTAACAGCGTGTAAATCGATCCACTGGAACAGGAGGTAACTCTCTTCCGATACTTGTACGGCATTACTAGTCAACCAAGACCGTGAATTGGATGTTTGGCAATAAGCTGAGACAATCCCCGTCCCAGAAAGTGCTCAATCAATCGCATGCTAAGCAGGCGACCGAAACTGAGGAAATGGTATGCAGGGACAACAGAATGCAGTGGGAATTGGTATGATATCTTGTGATGATCCCCGGAAGAGGGTATGGTGGCGCATGTGACACGGCCAGCTCTTCCCAGTCGTAGATCCTGAGGTCTCTGTCAAAAAGTCGTTCCTCCAAAAACTTCTCGATATTAACTCCGGAACCACGAAGCAGCCCGTTTCATATTGAGTAGATTCGAAGGAGCCCCATGTTACGAACTCGGGCCATCCTATTCAAGATGAAGTCAGTGAATACAAGCTCAAAGCAGCCTACGTTTCAAGGCATCGATTTCAGTATCCTACACATAAATAATTGGCGATACCTTATGACATAGCCAGGCACCTCGTTGTAAGATCATCTTCATTTACAATCCCTGCGAGGCGCTCACTTGGTTGAAGTGAAGCCTCCTCATTTTTACTGGCCACACCCAACCAGTGAAGTAAAGAGTGTATTCCTTGAGGCTCTGTGAGAAGCGTGTACAAAGTCAGGTAGCAGGCGACAAGGCCAATGACGGTAATAGCCCAATACAGCTGGGCTGCCGGATGGTTGCTGAGATGTACCAGGAATGACACGACGAAGAAATAAACACTACGAGTTTTGTTTGTCACAACCACGATCCGACGGTGTTGCCAATCGTACCTGTATAGCAAGAAGCAAGTGGAAAATACAAACACCCCAGCATCCCGAAGAAGTAGCCCTCTGTATGGATCGGTCCCATCCGAGCTCGTGGTCATTTGCAAACACGAGGGCACAGAAGAAGTAGATGACGTGCTCTGGCTCCTGTTGAGAGGGTCAGCAACGAACGGCAACGGAGTCCACGACGTGACCACTAACAGTGATGAAATTAAGCGACCCGCACAGGAGCGTGACCGCCCCGGCAAGTGAACCTGGTAACACCAAATACGGCGCGGCAACAGGGGTCACTGCGCATGATACGGTGCCGACTCCATACTACCTTCTTGTCATCCTATCATACTAGGTCACGGGGCCCAAACAGAAGTGTAGCTGTCACCTACGTCTTTATGCTCGTCATCCCCGTGGCACCTTTTGAACTCAAACGAGACGGCAATATCGTACCAAGTATCAGGGTCAGAGTTTTTGGCATTGTTCTTGTTGTCCCCCTGTGCGTCAACATTCTTTGTATCCACTAGTAGCAGGTACCCGTCCAGGCGAGTGGTACTTGACCGATCGGAGAGCGGCGATTACATAGGTCGTGATGCAAATCTAAGCGTTGGTGGGATGTTGGTGACTTTGCCAGCCTCGCGTACGACTGCGTCAAAAACCTTCCAAAGGGCTTTAAACACCCCATCCTCAGATAAACCCGGTCTCTTCGGGTCCTTCTCGAATCCGGCCCACCGCCCTGAGAATTGAGCCCAAACCTTCGGGTCCCCTTGGAGCGAAGCCTGGATTTTGGCGATGCCAATCTGCCCAGACAAGGGTGGCAGGGTCGCATACTAGAAATACTCAAGCGATACTTGAGGGATTTCACCTAGGGCACTAAGGACAGTCGTCCTACTGAGAGCGAGGCCTCCTGAACGTAGCCCGCCAACGACGTCTGTTTCGGTTCGGTTAGGGTTTCAAGTGTGGTGAGCTCCATTGGCAGCGGCGTGACTTGTCTCTCCATAGTTAAGCCACGGTAACACGGGTTTGTTCAGTAACAATAGCGTAGAACCTGGTCGGTGACTCCTGATGACAAATTCACTGAGGATGACGACCTTCGATACATATGCCGGAGTCAGATTTTGATTTGTTCGGTCAAGAAATGGAATCCCATAAACAAAGACAACAATGGGGCCCAATGCAGGTCCCTGTTTGAGATTATAGTTGGGCCTTCTTCGATCTTGCTGTGAGGGCGGGACCCACGACGTGTGTAGAGAAAGCTACTTACGAATACGATTTAGGGCGCTTGCACAAACCTTGCTTGCCAAGAGAATGTTTCTTGGAGGTTAACGCATGTCGCGCACAGCACAGAATTTAGAGTGAAAGGCTTGGCTTCGGTTCTATGGGAATTCCTCAGGTGCAATTGTCCTAAATGACACTCATAAGATAGCCACTCCAATGCACGAAAACAAAAGAATACTAACAATCTCCAAGCCTCGCTTTAAGGCCCCTAAACCGTCATCCACACCACGAAGGTCGTATTTTATGGAGGATGCTGACTGCCGAAGTCATCAGCTGTAAGCAACGTGGATAGGACTTTGCACGCATTGCAAGAACCTCATGCAACAGCCGTATCGGGTTTGCGCAGGAAGAAATAATACGGACGTCTGTCGATTGAAGGACACGTCGTTCTTCAGGTGTCCTTTGGGCGAGATCCTGAACGATTTTCAGCATGTGGTTCATTTCCCTAGTATGGCTATCAAGGATTTATGTGTGACATTTACCATCTCCTTACCTTGCGAACTCGCTGACTAGTGCATGTATATCGGGCAGCAACGTCGCCTCTTTTTCATGGTCAATAACACATTGATCAGTAGCGTGGCGGTCTCCAAAACTTGAAAAAGTGCGTGGTGTGTTCCCGGCACAGTCTTCAGTAAAATGGTCATCAAATCTGTTGAAAATCAAACTGCCGAAAAAGCCTTACCTCCAACTTTGAAGGTCCTTGCAGATGCATCCAGCACTCTGGTGACCGAAATCCGATGGAAATACAGGATGCCATTCAATTTAATGTTTTTTTTTGTAGCCGAAAGATCATCAGAATCGGAATCGTTTGAAGCCAAGCGAGCCACTTACATCAGATTCAACCAGTGTACTATTCTCCTAGAAATCTGGACATCTGACAGAAACGTATCATCGAATCCTGATGTATCCACCAAACGGTGTTGCGAACTCCATCGGGGTGTTGATATCGCACTGGGCACACTTCCTTTAATGAGGGAGTCGACCGACGGTCCATATCAGGTCTGCCAAATGCACAGTCGATAAAATAGATATATCCATTTAGGAGGACATTTAGAGACGCGTCGGACGCATACTGTGGTCCTCCCCGAGCCAACAAGGCCCATAAGACTACCACCGATTACTGAGGTCTAGGATTCGTAAGCTACACGGACGCACGCAATGATGATATCGTCCAGCGTAATCACAACTTCTTCAATCGGCGATGTTGTAGGTGGAAGTTGCACAACCGCTTCACCAAACTGGCTTTCGAGGTCGACAGCAGCATCATCTGGACAGGTGTTGTGATGCAAGTGAAGGTGTTGACATTCCAAGTACTTCTTGGTACGATGATCATCCTCGTACTCCTCGCAATCGATGGTATTGTCCAAAGGACTCAAAGCACTGCCGACGGCTGTGAACGGGAAAGACTCCCCTTCGGCTTCGTCGACCCCACGCCTTACCGGAGAGCGAGACAGAGAGCGACCCTATTTCAGCTATTAGCTATGGAATGCGTCAAGAACAGGTGGGTTTACCTGCGATGGAAAACGCAAGGCTGCATGCACTGCATTTGGCACACCGCATTGAAGGATTGGAAAAGAGCGTGCGACTCGGAGCCAGCTCGTCACGTGGAGAGTAGTTTGGGCGCACATCTGTCTATCCGCTTTTTGGCCCTGCCGCAACTCCTTTGCGACCCGGGGACTTAAGCGACCGAGAACACGCAAGACAATTAACGCCCAACGGAGTTGTATTCAGATCAGGAAATCGAAGGAAAGTGCCACATCACGAGGTTTTTGGCATGTCCGACTCGGGGAATGAAACATATTGGAGGGCAGTGACCGTCCTTGTTGCGCAAGCAGGTATTTGGCTATTTTGGAGTCGTCAACAGCCCTAATCCTCGGTTGGGAAGTGCGAGTTCGAATAGTCCTTGGAAACATGCGGAGCAGTGGGCGCACACGTACCCAGTTAACGAGGATACTTAATATACAATCGCCCCGTTGACACGCTCATGATTTGTTCACCGTAGGCTCATACTACCCTCCATTGCCTATCGTGTCGTGGCGGCTAAAACTGCTGGAAAATTCCACCAGCCCTCCAGGTTACACATGCGAGATTGATGTCTCGCACCTGGTGCCCCTGGTGGTCAGACTGTCGGTTTATCTTGGGGAAGATATATTCTCATTCATCCTTGGCATCCAAATGAGTCCAAATGCAAATGGAGAGCGAGGTCGACGTCACGTGGGAGCTGCTTGAGCAACTCGAACAACCATTCAACGCACTCCTCCTCATGAGACTACCGCACAACGAGTACAAGAGAATCGCAAGTAATTGTGCGATCACTGCTTGCGTCCAGGACCTGCGTAGTATTGCAGACAGTGAAACCCTAGGCCTGGAAATTGTATAGGTCAGCTCGCAGTGCAGGTGCTGGCTCCCTCCGGCAGCAAACGTCCAGCCGAGTGGCAGCCTGAGCACTCTCCCACCATCTCTTTCTTTGGACTGCTACCTGCCAGTAGGCTCGTCGCCTCCCCCTCTCGACCTCCTCGCCCACTCGTTTCGCCCACCCTCTGCACCCTCTTCTATGTATACCATAAACACCTGTCCGTGGTTAAAATTCAAATTACGCATATTTGGCACCTCAGCGTCTATCCACTATTGTGCACGGCCTGCCAGTCAGAGCAAGCAGGTGACCTGCCCTCCCGAGCGGCTCCGCCTGCCTCGCCTCCGCCGAGCTATCGCTTGGCCCAGCCCAACCACCGTCAGGCGTTAGTGCACGTGCGCGAGACGAAGCTGGACCGTAGTCACTCTATGCTGTCTCGTGACATTTTCCCATCTTCTTTCCCGCTGTCCACACGTTTTGTCAAAGCAGGACCGCTATCTGTGTCGTTCCCTGGTGGATGCTTCCATTTCTGCTTCTGGATGATCGAGTTCCAAAATGACATGAGGTACCACAATAAATGTAGACTTGTCAAGGAGCATTGATTGGCGATAAACAACTTTGGTAGGCGAAGAAGGATCCGCAAAAGCGCCTCAGGGATCAACATGATGGTATGAAAACAATAGGAATTTCATGGCAGATCCACGTGCTGTGAGTCTGTGTGCTTCCCTTCGATCCCACCAGACACCAACGACAGCTAGCGGTAGACGCCTGGTTGTCTTCTCGAAACGTGAAGTCGTGCAGTGGGTGGGTTGACGAACTTAGACGAACCACTGACTAGTGACTCTGAATTCTAGGCGTGCACTTTGACAGTCCTTGATATCTTGTACAAACTACATATGTATGTAGCATACGATACATGTTAGGTATGTTTTTATTTTACATTTCGAAACAGACAGATTTTTGCAGTGGCTACAGTTTCCACGAGGAGGCATACTTCTGAAGTGTGAGGCAGAAAAGGTGGACCGCAACGCAGATCTGCAAAAGATGATCACTTGAACCGTATAACGTGTAGCATGGAATGGGAAGGGGGAGAATCATGTTGTACAGCACAACTAGGGACACAAAAATGAACATGCGCATGAGCATCGTACATGCAAACGACAAAAGGCAGCAGAGTAATATGATCCATGGCAATGGCCCAAACCTTGCCCGGAGAGTGAGAGGCTGACGCGGCTGTTTAGAATACGGTATTTAGGGTGAAAGGGCTTGCTCTGGCTCTACGGGAATGCCGCAACTGCAGTTGTCCTAATCGATGGACATAAGATGATTACTCCGAGGCACGAAAAGGAGAAAGTACCAACAATCTCCAAGGCCCGTTTCAGGGCCACCAAACCTTTGTCGATACCACGGAGGTCATATTTTATGGAGGATGCTGACTGCAGAAGTTATCAGCCGCAAGCGACACAGGTAGGCCTTTGCACGTACTGTGAGGACCTCGCTCACCAGGCGTATCGAATTTGCGCAGGAAGAAATGATACGGACATCTGTCGATTGAAGGACACGTCGTGTTTCAGGTGTCCTTTGGACGAGATCCTGGATTATTTCCCACACGCAGTTTATTTCCCTGGCAAGGTATTAAGTTTACACGTGTGACATTCATTATCATCATACTTCGCAAACTTGCTGACCGCTGCCTGTATATTTGGCGAGAACGTCGCCTCTTTCGCACGGTCAACGGCAGCATTTATCAGCAGCATAGCGGTTTCCAAAACTTGGAAATGCGCATGGTGCGTTCCCGCCATGGTCTTTAATAAAGGGGTCATCAAATCTCTTCAACATCACGCGCTGACTCACTTGCCTCAATAGACAGAGCAATGCTAAGACATGGTGCAATTGCGTCCTTCAGATAATCGATATGGGCAACTTCTGGTGCGTCAAAGGCGGTCCGCAAAGTAGTTGTTACCTGCGGCAAAGCACTTCGATAACCTTCCGCGGTGCAAGTTCCGGAAGTGTATATTCCCGTCTCAACGGACTCCGCATCGGTGGGATCATAGGTGAAGGTGACAGTGATCCTCGTCGTCCGATAACTCGGCCTCCCCATAGCCTTTCTAATCCGTGCCAAAATCCCATTGGAGCCGATCCTGAGGCTGAGAAGCCTGGAAACTGTTTTTCCTGCAGATGTTCTATCAAGTGGTAGGTGTTTATCTACTATTTCCCGTTGGATTTGAAGCGGGCGACGCTCAGCCGGCCGTGAAATTGAAACCGAATTAATTATATCCCGAGCAGATTCAGTGGTCCCTAAAACATTATCAGAATTGGAATCGCTTGCAGCCAAGCGAGCTGCTTACACCGCATTCAACCACTCTGCAATTTCCCAGAGAACCTGGAAATCTGTCATGAATGAATTGTTGCATCCTGGTGCGTCAACCAAGACAATGTCACGAATGCCGTCGAAGTGGGGAATTCGGACAGGGCGCACTTCCTTTGTACGGGAAGTCGACCCACAAAGAGCATCGGGTCTTCCAACTGCACAGTTGATAAACTAGGTACATTCATGAAGGAGAACGCATAGAAACGTGTGGGGTGCTTACTGTGGTCTTCCTGAATCAGTAGGACCCATGACACTGCCATTGATTGTTAGGGCCTGGAATCCATAAGTGAACTACACGGACGCACGCAATAATGACATCGTCCGGGTTAATCACAACTTCTTCAATCGGCGATGTTGGAAGCGGAATTTGCTCATTTGCTTCATCGCACCTACTTTCAAGGTCGACGGCAGTGCCATCTCGACAGGTGGTGGGAAGCAAGTGAAGCCTGTCCAGCCAGGTGTTGACATTCCAATTTCTTCTCAGCAGTGTGCGACGATCATCCTCGTACGGGTCGCATTCAGATGCATTGCCCAAAGGAGCTGAAACGATGGTGGCGGGCGCAAACGTGGAGGACCCTTCCACTCCGTCAACCCCACGCCTTATTGGAGAGTGAGATCGAGAGCGACCCTAATCCGCTATCAGCTGAAGGAGCGCGTGAAGAACAGGTGGGTTTACCTGTGACGGAGACATGAGGAAACGTAGGAGAATGCTGCCAGAAGGCGAGGCTGGGGCACTGCACTGCATTTGGCATAGCACCACAAGGCAGGACACTCATGGCACGAGGATTACCCAGATGAGAACTTGAATGCGCTAACAGGCAGCCAGCATTCCGCGCGGAAAACAAAAACTCTTCGAGCATGGTCATCCTCGTCCTTGCCACTTCTCGGCGGTGTCCCATGTCCTTTGGGGGGAGGAAAGCGGTAGAGAACAAGCCACCTCTCTTCTCTGTGTGTAACGGACGATGAGATTTACATTCAACCGAGACTCATCAAGTCAACGAAGGAAAACGCCACTGATTACAACGAAGTACTTGACATACGTGACCACCCTTGTTCCGCAAACAGAGCAGGATCCGGTTTTTTGGAATCGAGTGCATACACAACAGCACTGATTCCCGGTTGGGGATAGTGATTGATTGAAAATGTATCAGGCAGGTTACCTTGCGGAGGGGAGAATTGTGGCTGTGTTAGGCCTGATTTGATTGTTTCCAGGTTGGCGCATTTACTTGGGTTGTCGAAAGTTCGATATATTGTCTTATCGAAGAGATGATTGTTACTATAAGCCACAGTAACACGGGCTTGTTCAGCAAGCATAGCGTAGAACCTGGTCGGTGACTAGTGACTGCAGATGCACAGGTTCACTGGGGGTGACGACCTTCAATACATTTGCCGAAGTCGGATTTTGATTTGTTCGATCAAGAAATGCAACCCTATAAATGAAGACGACAATGGGTCCCAAAGCAGGTCCCTGTTTGAGATTATAGGCCTTCTTCGATCTTGCTGTGAGGGTAGGAATCAACTGTATTGTCCGAAAGACTCGAAGCTGCCGCAAACCGGGAAGACACCCCTTCGACTTCGTCGACCCCACTCCTTATTGGAGAGCGAGACAGAGAGCGAGCCTATTTCCGCTATTAGCTGAGGGGTGTGCGAAGAAGTGGTTTACCTGCGACGGAGACATGAGGAAACGCAGGAGGATACTGCAAGAAGGCAAGGCCGGGGCTTGGGCTTGAACATGCACTGCACTGCATTTGGCACACCGCAAGGATCACCCAGATTGGAAAGCGGCATGCGACTCGGAGCCAGCTCGTCACGTGGAGAGTCGTATCCATATCAAGAAAACGAAGTAAAGTGCCACATCACGAGGTGTTGGGCATGTCCGACTCGGGGTATGAAACGTATTGGAGGGCAGTGACCGTCCTTGTTGCGCAAACAAGTATTTGGCTATTTTGGGGTTGTCAACAGCCCTAATCCTCGGTTGGGAAGTGCGAGTTCGGATAGTCATTGGAAACATGTGAAGCAGTGGACGCGCACGTGCCCAGTTAATGAGGATACTTAATATACAATCGCCTTGTTGAAATCCCTTCTACATGCGCAGAACGGTTTCCAAGCCCAAAATTGTTGTGTATGTCCTCCTTTTTTTTATGAATGTCATTCATCATTCAACACCTTCACTCTGCCTTAGAGTCATGGGACCTGTGGGGTCCAGGCGGAGCAATGTAAGTCCAGGGATCCGTGCATCCAGTTCATTGGTTAAACGTCGTGGCACAATTCATCAACACACTTACGGGAATTGAAGCAGCAGAGGCAATGCGTGGGCTGGGGTCGAGCATGCAGGATATCGGAGAAGTCCCGGTGAGGCTGCCCAATAATCGAGAATATGTGTTTGTAGATACTCTTGGGTTCAATAACCCTGATCGACCGGCCAGGGATACACTCAACACCATCGCTGACTGGTTAGAGAGGAAGTGAGTGGATGTGTATGATCGTGACAGGTTACTGGCTAACCAATGCGCAGATATCGAGGGGGCGCCTTACTCACGAGGGTTGTCTATACCCATCGAATTACCAACCCCTGGATGGACGGTTTATTGCGTGAAAGCCTGGACATATTTGGTTGTATATGTGTGACCAAAGCCGCCGGGCGCGTGCAGCTGGTAACTACCATGTGGGACCGAGTGAAAGATCCCACAGCCGCAGAGACCATGGTGTCACAACTGGAAGAGAACTTCTGGAAGCCCTTACTCAATGCAGGTACTCGTCATATGCGATTTGAAAATTCCAAGCAATTGGTGTGGGACATAGTCGAGGATTTGGGGGTGGAAGGACAACCCCTTTTATTCCAGCAAGAACTGGTGGACGCAACAAGGAACCTATACAAGATGTTTGCTGGCCATGCGCTCTACCTGCAATTGCAGAAGCTTCTCCTGGAAGAACCGGAAACATGCGAGCCATTTTTGGGAGTTTTCAAAACGCGGAAAGTTCGGAGACCGAAGAAGCGGCTCGAGGTAGAGTGCGAGCGTATTGAAATGCAACTGCGGAAGGCACGGAAAGAGAGGCAAAGACTAGAGATACGCCGACATTCCTACTAGCGTCAATTGTCATCTTTCTTTTCTAGTCCCAACATTACAATCCTGGAAGTTACGGGAGATGACCTTGTAATCTTGTGAGTGGCGGGACACTTGTGTACTTTACCTTCCTCTGATCGCCCTCACGCACAGTGTGGTTGGCCCAACGGGAGCAGGCAAGAGTTGGGTGCGCAATGCAGACATTTCATTGTAGCTGGAGTATCTTAATTGTGGCTAGTTCACCAAAAAAACTGTCACAGAATGCCGTGATCCAAGCCGAAGAGGACCCACATCCTTGTACAAGATGGCACGTGAGCGCATCGAGATACAACCTCAAGGACAGCACAAACCATATCATAGTTGTCGACACCACATCGCTTCATACCAATTATGACTTCTACACCGAAAGAATTATGACTTCTTGGTTGAAGTCCAGGTAAGCGCAAAAACTCCCTCCTGGAATGTTTTCAAATACTGCTGCAGGTTCACTAAAAAGTGTCCATCTGGCATTCTTTTTCTTCACTCGCTTGCCAAGGATCCGAAGGATCATGACATACTGATGCAGCGGCACCTCGATATGTTTGCAATGAGATTTCCTAACAAGTCCATTGTTCCTTCCCACATTTACGTGGTACCGACGGGGAACCCAGCGGATGCGAAGCTAGGTCAACGGTTGTCTGAACTAGAAAGTGTGATGAAGTCGTCGAACGTCAATGGTAGCCGCAAATGGCATGTGTCAATGTTCCCTGGAGTGTTTGATGGCGGACCGGTAATAGCATGGAGCGCGGCAGTTCTTCTCAAGAACATGGTTGAGAATCAGGTACATCTCTTCATTATATTCGATAGACTTACCTGGATGACCATATCTCCATCTCTGCGTAGACAAATGAGATGTTCAGCTCTCGAAGACCCACGTCAAAGGAAATCCCCCCGAAGCTCCCAGATAACTGTGCAGGACTCAAAAATCTTGCGGAGCACCTTTTCGGAAGGTACAAAGAGGAATCGATGAACAATAGTTTGGATGCGAAAATCGTGCTCGGGCGAGTTGTTCGGGACCTCACTCCCGCGAGCGACCCTGGTCACGTTTCAGCTCTCATCGCTTATGCTGATCTTCTTTCCGAACGATTCGCGAAGCAAGAGAGGAAAGCGGACTTGCACGAATTCGTCACTCTCAGACGCACCGCTTGGCAATCTACGCCTCCGCACGACTCAAGGTGGAAAGGAACGCTCGCCACGCTGGACGATGGCTTATATGCACGCTTCGGGAGGGGAGGTGTCGCAGATTTGGAGGAAATCATATCTCTTCGTCGAACTGTGTCACAACTTACTTCCCTGCCAGATCTCTGCAGATCTCCCGTCCACCTCACGAATGCCCTTCACAAAAGATATCGGATACTTTGTTTAAGGAGTGATCTAGAGGAAGCTATTAAGCTTGCACGTGACGCATTGGCACAATATCCCTCCAACGACCCAGATCATGCGCTGGCTCAGGAATGTCTCGTGGATTGCCCCCAAACAAAGGTCGGAAAAGGAGCTGCTTATGCAGCGAGGGCAGTGACAGATGCTTCCGAATGCAACCCCTCTGATATCCAGAAGGTGATCACGAACATTATTTCTGAAACTGTCGCAAAAATGCCACCGCGACTGTTGCATACACCAACTGGCGCCTTATGCGATCAGGATGTGCTGATATCCCATTTCGTGAATAGCCCTGCATACTTGGGACTATATTGACATCTCCAGCGCAGGTCCATGCGAAGATTTCATTGTTCTTTTGGTTTACCACGCTATCCCACAGATGGGGAATTCGCCAGCCATTACTACGCGACATTGAAGGCGAAGTGATCTATGACTTGGAGCGGACGCAGTGTCTGGCGAAACTCTAACAATTTTGTCTTGTCTCACTCAGACACAAGTTCTCATGGGCATGGAGCGATACTTGTTGCATCGATAAAGACAGCAGCGCAGAGCTTCAAGAAGCTATAGGATCCATGTTTTCTTGGTATCATCGATCATCCCTGACAATTGTTTACCTGTCTGATGTCTCCGACACCGGCTCACTAGCTGGCAGTATCCGGTTCAAGCGCAGGTGGACACTTCAGGAATTACTGGCTTCACGCGCCTTGTTCTATATGCAGGACTGGTCACCCAGCATGAACTCTGATGCCAGAAACCATAAAACAGACCCCAGTATGCTCGAAGTACTCGAAAAGGCAACGGGAGTAGTGGCGTGGTATCTTGAAGACTTCTCTCCAGGTATGGATGATGCACGATCGAAAGTCCGCTGGGCATCTGGCCGTTCTACCACCCGACCTGAAGACGCTGCCTATCCTCTTTTCGGAATTTTTTTAAGGTCCATTTACCAGCCATCCACGGCGAATCTGCGGACAACGCGCTTGGACGTCTTCTGACAGAGACCGTTTCACAACCTAGAGACATTTCGGTTCTGGATTGGGTTGGGGAGCGTCATCATTCCACAACTCTTTCCCTGCAAATCTCATACCATATCAGACGGTGCCCTGCGCGCGGTCGAATCCATGCGATTCTACCAGATGCAATAGCTTCAACTTCGAAGGTGCACGGAAATTGTACAACACCCTTGCGAAGTTACCACGCCCGCGATTCACTCATCGTAGGCTCAATTGCCCTCCATTACCTACTGCGTCATAGCAGTTAAGTCCCTAGGAATCACCACCAGCCCTCCAGGTTACACATATGAGATTCATGTCTTGCACCTGATGCCCCTAGTGGTCACACTGTCGGTCTGTCTTGGGGAGGACCCCACAACATATTTTCTCATTCGTCCTTGGCATCCAAAATGGGTCGAAATGCAAACGGAGAGCGAGGTCGACGCTACGTGGGAGCTGCTCGAAAAACTCGAACAACCATTCAACGCACTTCTGTTGATAAGACTACCTCACAACGAGTGCAAGAGAATCGCAAGTAATTGTACGATCACCGCTCACATTCAGGATATGGCTAGTATTGTGGACAGCGAAATCTTGAGCCTGGAAATTGTATAGTTCAGCTCGCATTGGTGTCCCGCGACACTGAGCGCTGTCCCATTCGTTTCCCCTGTATGTGCTTTTCGATGTTAAATCTGTATTTTGAGTGCTGAGCATATAAACGGATGCTTAAATGTGCACGCTTACACAATCATGTATCATATACAAGTCATGCTGCATCAGATCTCAGATATGGTACGTGGTCAAGTTGGAATCCATGTCAAATTGTGATAGCGCACCATGCGAGGGTCCTTTCTTGTGCTGGATCGTACATAATGACAAAGGACACTCACTGGCGTCTGCAGAAGGATGGTTTGAGCAGGAAGATTAGTTGTTGTTCTCAATATTCTACCGCTTTTCGGATTCCAGCCTGTCCTATAGACGCGCCCAATAATGCCAATTAAGTTGACCAGAGCGCTCACCAGACTTCTGATTTGGAGGTGGCACTTGGGTTGTGCGGCTGTTGTACGGTACAAGATAAATTTTCTGTTTCGTCCCATGTTATTTTGATTATCAGGAAACCCCAGGGTGCGGATATCAACCTCCATTCCCGAGCGAATCCCTCGACATCCGTCATAAGGTGCTCCGGAGCGATACTTTGCAACCAGCGAAGTGAATTTGAGCCATGTGCTAAATGCTGCCAGGAAAGAGGGACAGAATGAAATGTACGGAATGGTCGTAAATAATTGCTAGAATGGGAATGGCCAACGGAGTGATTATGTAAGGCGAAGGCACCTGTTTCGAAACTGTGCTCATCAGTAAAGCTAAGCGTTCAAAAACCTGGGTTTTCAAGCGCTTAATGTTCGCCAGTGTTTGGTTCCAGGGGAAGCGCATATGGCGTCTGTCGGAAAGCTCCTGTTGTTCTCATACCATCATGTTGGTTCCCCAGTCGCTTTTGCGAGTTCTTGTTCGCCTACCCAAGCTATTCATCGCCATCGCCAAACGATGCTTCTCGACAACTTCGTATTTATTCCGGTACCTCCTGTCTTTTTGGAACTCGTTCATCCGGAAGCAGAAACGGAAGCACCTGCCAGACAATGATGCATGTACCGTCTTTGCTTCGAATTTGCCCATTCTTGGTGCCAGCTTTCGGAACGCAACCGTACCATACCCCGACGATGGAGAGTCGGTTTTGAGCCACCGACCCACACAATCTGACGCAATTAAGGTGCGTAGCTTTTCCTGACCACTTGTGCAATTCGATCTCTGATGTTAGCATCAAGCCCGAAGTTGGCCTCTCAGACCCCGGCAGACCGCAAAGTGATACAAATCTCACCGCTCATGGCTACCCGCCAACGCATACACTTCCTCAGCGGTATGTAACAAGGGCTTTCGGCAGGTGCCCACACTGACGTTTATGATATCAAAGTGTGCGACGCTCCAACCCTCTTGTCGGAAATTTAGGATCGTCCACACCACCTCCATCGACGTATTCAACTGTGTTCTTAGTGATATTAGACATAGTTAGCATGATGATTTTCCTTGATCGACTGCGATATGTCAGCAGTGCCCTCGCAACTACTCAAGTTGATGATCAAACAGATCTAGACAAATGGGAAGCATTCTCAAAAACGTTTCAAAGTGAAATCGATGCATCTAACCTACTCGTGAGTAGGGTCACAAGTCTGGTACATGTATGTCCTCATCACTGAACCTTTCGGATAGGCTACCGTACTTCTAGCCGCCAACGTCGGATTTCTCGCTATCCAATCTATTGACCAGGAAGGATTGTCTTACTGGTCTCAGAGATTATGTTACATGTCTCTGTTTACTGCACTGGGTAGCGTTACAATGGGATTAGCCGTCAGGACACCGAGATTCTTTGTAAGTGAATCAGCTTGGTTGAACAGCTGGCCAATCCTCTTACATGAAATGTCAGACGGCTCACAATAGACTGTGCTTCTCTGCGATGCAGTTGTGTTTATTTTCTCCGTTTGGATCCTTGTTATACAGGTATGATTGGTTGGCAAAGCCGTTGGACCATAGTTTTGACAACCAGATCTCGTAGTGTCTATTTCTTCCTTACTGCACTCCTGGTACATCTCAGGGATCAAGCAGCCACGGTTCAATTATATTTCGCCTTTGCTGGCATTCTTTATGTCCTCTGCATGCTCATTGTGTATGCGCTTCTCACAGAGCCACAAGGGATACATTCTGTGCTTTACTTGTTTAATTGGGCTAGAACGGAGCTGAGGAGGCATGGTATTCAGTTGGTTCAAGTGATTAGCTGAAGTCGATCACTACGCGAAATACCTATTTACCTTTCCTGCGTTCCACCTTCCATCAGGCATCATAGATAACTCGTTTTTCCAACCGTGCGCCAGATCACAAAGGGCACCTAGTTAACCTGCCACGATGCACCCCATTCGTCTTGATCTTCCACTCATGTAGTCGCCAGAAGTCCCCGGTCGGCCCACCTGAACACGAAAAGCACATACGTAGAATACATGCGACATAGCACGATTGTGTGAAGACTATCACAACGCAAAATACATATTCACCATCCGGCGTCTCGCTTTCCGTCAGATATCATACATAACTCGTTCTTCCAGCCACGCACGGTCCGCCTCGACCCAGATCACCACGGCCACCTTCACCTGACCGGCGGCAGCACCCTTCATAGCAACCTTCCAACCTCTGTAGTCACCAAATGTCCCCGGGCGGACCACCCGAACACAGGGAACGCCGATTCTCCCCATTTGACTATCTTTCAGGTAGTTTTCATTGTGTTGCTGCAGTTGATTATGCAATGCAGTAGGTACCGTAGAAATGTTTGCGCCTGAAGGAAATTTGGTAGATCAGGTTGCTGTGCCCAAACCCAGGTGTGTCACTCCATAGGCCACGGAGGAACTTACCAGGATCGCCCTGCAATTCAACAAAGAATGCGTACCGAGAAACCACCTGGCGGTAATCAGGGGAAACGCAGAACTCAGAAACCCCTCCAAACAGGTCGGACGTGGCGTCTACGACATTGCGAAGCTGCGTTTCCGTTGTCACCTCGTTTGCAAGACGGATGTACATGCTAAAATAATATATCCATCTTTAACCTGTATATTCATTTACCAGGGATGCCCGAACACTTACTGTCGCCGCTGCAACGAGCAGTCAGATACAACAAATTGACTTGAAAAATGAAGCACACCCACCCCGATGTACCTGATAAGAGGTTGTCCGTCGCGAGGATTGAATCCTGCGATCTCAACAACATCGCCAAGGCGATACCGCCAGAATCCATCTCTCGTTGTCAGAACCACTTCGTATTTCCTGCCCAATTCGACGTTCCACTGATCCAAAAGGGATCAGCATCTGCAGTACAACACACAAGGCAAACAGGAACTAACCGATTGAGCAAGATATTTGGATTCCTCTGGTTTTTCTACAGGTAGGAACTCGATGACGTCGTCGGAACCAACAACGCTGTACAGGTTAAGGTCCCTTGGGTCGTACACAACGGCCAAAAACGCTTCGCTGCTAGCAATCACAACAGACTGGACGGACACATCGGGACCAGCATAATGCCGGATCTAAATTGAGCGTGTTCAGGACACGCCACGAGGTGGGGCGAAAAGCTATACCTCTGGGATAAGGGTGGCAAATGGACCACTGCCATTCGCCAGGATCACACACAACTGGGGCCAAATCTGTCTGAACCATCCAGGGGTATCTGTTGCTTTGCCGATCCTGCGCAACTCCTCGGCACGATCCGGATTCGGCTGGAGGAAACGCTGTGGCACTCAAGATCAGCACCTGTATGATGATAACCTTGGCGCCGCAGTTAAGAGAGACGCACCTGAAGATTATCCTTCACAGTTTCGATTCCGTTTAAATCGGGTATCACGCCTGTTTCGATGCAGTGAATGAGATCCTCCCAGCGATTGTCAATCGTCCGACATAAATCCCGACATGCGGTGGTGAACATGGTGCTGATGGTCTCGAGCTTGGGCTCTGCCAACGCAAAGAGAGCATGCATGAAGAGAACCGACTTGTAGTTGGAGATTAAGGAGACAGCGATGGGCGATGAGTAACGAGGAACTACGGAAGTGGTTAGTGAAGCGCCATGTAGAGGGACATATTTTACTGACTCTTTAGTGTGACAGAGAATGCATCATTCTCTACGGGCTGAGATAGTCTCGAGTTTAGCCGGAGGGATTGCTTTCCCCGCGCAACTTACCATATTGTTTTCTATGCGGTAGCAGCCACTTGACACTAAGCAAACCGGAATGTGTTTGACTATATCTCCATCCCCGTCCAGGGGAGTTACGACCTGACGGTATGTAAGAGAAACCAGGGAAACCAAGCTACAGTTCTTTCCTGCGTTATTGCTCTGCGGGTTTGCAAGTCGGGCAGTCTCAGCCATCGCCCTTGACATGTGTTCTGGGTGGCGATACTTAGGGAAGTACTTTGCTGCGCCCCCCGAGGTGCCCGATGAGTGCGCAATGAAGACAGGAAGGCCGAGGGCCATAAGGTTCTCCACTGACGACTTGTTACATGGGCGTTCGAACAAACGCGAGATAACAGGGAAATAATCCTCGTAGATGCTCAGCCCCACGTTGTTGCGATAGATCTCAAACAGCTCTGTTGCGGAGAAATCCAAAGGGTCTATTTGGCCATCTGTGAGATGGAGTGCAGCCCTGAACTGCGGTAGAACGGCAGATTCTTTGAAGTAGGTAGTAGCAGAGTTGGTCTTCACGAGGTACGACAGTACGTTCAACGTCTGTTCGCGAAGCCGCTCCGCGAGCTCTGGGGTGAGTGAGGTAAACGGCTCAAGGGGTGCGCTCTCCATGTAATAGGCAGACTTTGTAGATCGAGTGACGAGTGATGAAACTATCGGGAAATCGACCGATTACTATTCGCCTCTTCTACAGATAACCCGATTGATTCACGGGGCGGTAAATCGGCACAGCCGCGTATCATGCATCTCCCCCTGCGGAGAATCCCGGGGTCCCAGTGTACGCAACACATGGCACGTCCAGCCCGAGAACGCATACTAGCGCGAGCCGCACTACAGGGGGAAATCCCGAGGTTGGAGGAATGCGATGGAGTGCTGCAGAGGTTCACCCGAGATTCTGGGTGCACTGAGTGCATCAGTTACTGTGTGAGCAAATGAGGTGAGAATGGCAACGCCCCAACGGAAATTTTACTGATTTCGGAGGCCTACATTGAACGTGACAATCGAGTCATCGACTCGGCCAACTCACGGCTTTTGTTGCAGGTTCTGCGGCGAAATATCTACTCGACGAAGCTGTGAAGTGCGTCAAGATTCCAGAGAAAGATGGCTTATGTCGGGAGTACAATATAGGTCTTCAAAGGATATCGAAGATGACTTGTCAAGTGCATGATATATGAAGGCTGAAACGTTGAAGCCTTGAAGCCTCGAAGGCCTATGCAGTGCTCTTCTGACCCGGAACATCGGACCGGCGCTGCGTTTTCCCACACAGGTACACCCAAAAATTCATTGCCACTGAGGCTTTCGTCCGCCACTGCTAGCTGCAGCTAGTATCTCCGACGGTGGTTGATCTGGAACGAGTGCACATATCGCTGTCTGCAATAAAGACGGATTCTCCTTGATTTTCGACTGACGGAAGGAGCTGGTCAAATGTAAAAGGTACGTTTATGGATCCGCTCTTGGGGCTATCTCATCGCGGTACACATCATTCAAATATTCACCCATGGTCATGGATTCCAAGGTAGCGATGATATCTTTTCTTTCCTGACATTACCCACGTTCTCCACAGTGCCACCTGTGGAGCTCGAGCCACCGCCATTGCAATGTCCTGATGTGGCTGATGCGGCCGTGACTAGTGTCCTGGGTAGGGAGGAAATGGAAATACCCAGGTGCGTATTCTCCAGGGCCGTAATCTGCAAAGAGAGAGCTACGTTCGTTACCTACATTTTGTGCAGCTTTCCGATTCCCCTTCCTAGGGCTTATGTCGTCCCTGCACGAACCGTTATGGAGGAGATGGCAACGACAATCGCACTTGGCATTCAAGACAGAGCCTCTCGAAAGGCTGCCCCACACAAGGAGTCACGTAGGGGAATCGTCCTGGTAGAGTATATGCCTAAGCGGTACGTAATGAACATCTAGCATGCCTGCGCCAAGGAAGATCCTACGTCGTGAACTTCGTGCGTGTGCTGCGTCAGATATGGCATATCCGGTAGATATGGGACCTATCACAACAAGAAACTGTTCACCTTCCCGCGTTCCACCTTTCATTCGATATCACACATAGCTTGTTCTTCCAACCATACACGATGAAAATGCTTCTTGACTCAGCTCCGCGTGGCACCCCGACTAGGACCTCGAAAAATTCCTCGACCCCGTCGTGCTAGCCACAGAAGCAGAGCCCGTCGCTGCCAACAGCGACGCACAGAAACGTCATTCTAGAACGCCAAAGCCCACCCCTGCACACACTCTCCCAGTCACGCAGGAGCCGGAAGACGCTCTCACACCCGCCGCCCACGACCTCAACAGGGCGAACAACCCTGAGGACTAACTCCCACGCCATGCCAGGACCCCAGGCAGCACCTCGCGTGTCAGGATCGACTCTGCATGGCAAGACCACCAGAAGCAGTGGACTACCCATCGAAGACATCATCAACGACCCAGATGCAGAAATAAAAGACACGGACTCAGCAAGAAAATTCCTAGACCAGCTGTACACTGTACACGGAGACCCGATAACGCCAGAACACCTGTCCCAAGCCCTGTTCTACATTTCGCAAAGCAAAACGGTGAACAGCACGACACGATCGGCCATTCGAACTACAGCATATCTAGTCAGAGACCTAGCAGCGCTGGCAATAGCTGAATCTATAACCAAGGCAGTATCGAGCAAACTAGATGCCTCAGTCCTAATCGCCATATCACCGCACATCGGCAAAATCATGTCAACTGCAGAGAAACTCGAAACCGCCAACGAACAAATCACAACGCTAAGCGCTGAGATTGCCAAGAACGCTGGAACCCATGACACCACTGCAGGCGACACGAGCCTCGAACTCCTCGAAGGTAAGGTACAAAAGCTCACTGACGACGTAGGGTCGATCAAAACTGCGATAGAAGAAGTCAAAGACCACCTCAAAACCCAAACACCCCCAGCACCGTTCCCAACACCATACAGAGATGCCCTAGCCACGTACACCGCTAATCCGAACCAGATCCCACTGGGCAAACACCCAACACAGGAACACGCTAAGGCCCACGCTGCTATCAGAGACAGACAGATACTGATCGACCCTGACAGAGATCACCCAATATCCAACGATTCCACCAAGAGAGAGACAGCCATCGACCTCATCAAGCAAGCAAGTAGAAGCAGTAAACAGGGCTAGATGGCCCCGAAATCCAACTGAAATCAATTGCCCGCCTACGAAACAACGGCGTCCTCCTCGAACTCAACAGTCAAGAAGCCGCAGCATGGATCAAAAAAGTCCCCAACAGAGCTACCTTCCTGGAGAAACTAGGAGGCACGACCATGATCAAAGACAGGAATGTACAGGCGTCAGTAATTCCCATTCCTCTCAACTGCGACTGACCTAGATCAGCCCTGACACTGCTACATGTGAAATGGAAACTGAGAACAACATCCCGACAGGGTTCCATAAGCCAGATCAAATGGATCAAAGACCCTGACCAAATGATCCCCCAACCAATGTGTAGCACATGCACTAGCAGCCTTCGCCTCTCCCGAGACAGCTAACCAGATCATCAGGGATGGACTCTATTGGGGCCTGGACAGGCTACAGTCCGCATAAGGACAAACAGGAACCAATCCTGTTGCCTCAAATGTCAGCAAATAGGTCATCTGGCAAAAGACTGCAAACAATGAAGCAGACATCTGTGGCATATGTGCTCAACTCCACTGTACACAGACATGTAACTTCGCCCACCGTATACTGTGCAAACTGCCAGAGCTGACACCCACCCCAGCTCAGACAGAAACTGCCCCTGCTTTTATCAGAAAATGCAACACCATGAACGACCTGCACCCCAGAAAACTGCATGCCCTACTTCCCCACCGTGGATGATTGGACCCAAGTCGAGCTCCCCCCACAGTCCCACAGATCCCATCAGGCAAACCAGACCTCCGCTAATGCAACCAGCCCCTCAAGGCCAAATGAGACAAATGACTGCTGGGTGAAGCGATGCACTTCTGCACCGTCACCCCAAGACTGAGGCCAGAACATCAACAGAATATGCAGAGGCAGGGGAGGTCCCACTCCCCTGTAACTTAGGACCAGTACCACCCACTACCCCCCCTGACCCACTCCCCATCCCATGCCCATGGCAAACCCAATGCCAGCAGACAACCCCCCCCCTGACCCTCTTGAATGATGAACTGACAACTGACAACAAGATAACGCCCTAAACAACCTATGCATCTGGCAACAAAACCTTAATAACTCCCATATAGCCCTACACTCACTTATTAACAGCCAAGCTGCAGATGATTGGGACATAATAGCCCTGCAGGAACCCCCCATCGACAAAATTGGAAACACAAGAGCAAATACATGATGGAGAGTAGTATACCCATCATCAAAGCTAAACCAAGGCGAAAAACACAGAGTGGTAACTCTAGTTAATGCAAAGATAAGCACTAACATATGGGAACAGATCGCATTCCCATCGGCCGATGTAGTAGTAACAAAGCTGAGAACCACAAAAGGGACTGTACACAGCTGTTCAACATATACAATGACTGCAAACATGACCTGAACAGATCGACAAACTGGGGACATACCTAGCGACCAACATAAGAATCACATGGCTAATGGCGAACGACAGGATGATGTGGTTAGGAGACTTCAACAGGCACCACCCAATGTGGGACGAGGAGTGAAACCATCACCTGTTCACAGCGACAGTGCTCACATCAGTGCAGAAGTTGCTCGACCTGGTAGCAGACTACAGTATGGTACAAGCCCTCCCCAGGGGGACACCGACCCTCCAGTCCTCCTCAATGGGAAACTGGACATGCCCTGGACAATGTCTTTTGCACAGAGTCGATGCTGGAAAGCCTGACCAGCTGCAACACTAGTCTGGAAAACCACAGCCCCAACACTGACCACCTTCCAGTGCTAACACAGCTAGACGTAGGACTCACACCAATGGAATTGACCCCCTCCTACAACTTCCAGGAGGTCGACTGGAAGAAATTCAACAAGACGCTCCAAGCTGAGTTAGCAAGGATAGGACCACCAGTGGTAATACCTAATGAAAGAGAGTTCCAAAGGACAGCGGGGGGCATCGAAACAGCGCTACATGCAGAACATTGGAAAAGGAGGTCCCAAGGACACAGCCCTCACCTGCACAAAAAATGCTGGTGGATGAGGGAACTGACAATGCTACGCAATGACCTGAAAATGCTAAGTAAAGCCTCCTATGTTTTCTGGGCAATCTGTGACCACCCCAGTCACAGACTACACAAGGAGAAAGCAAAAGATTACAAAAAAGCCATCCAATCAGCCAACAAATCTCACTGGAGGGACTGGCTGGAAGAAGCAAACAACGAAGACCTGTGGATAGCTAATGGGTACATATCCAAACCATATGGAGATGGCAGTAAGGCCCATATACCGACACTCAGAAAGATCGACGACGAGGGCGTAGCCACCACAGTCAGCTCAAATGAAGACAAAAGTGAAATGTTTGCGCAAGCACTCTTCCCTCCCCCCCCTCCCCACTTGTCAGTCCCACAGAACTATGACTACCCCCAGCCAGCAGCCCACTGGTCTACCATCACATGGGACCAACTACAATGCACGATCGAGAATCTCAGCCCCTACAAGGCCCCAGGACCAGATGGGGTAGCCAACATCGTGTTCCAGAAGTCCACCATCCTTTCCGAATACCTAATACATCTCTTCAACACAGCAGTAACACTACGAACATATTACGACCTGTGGAGGGAATCCATAACGGTAATCCTATGCAAGCTGGGCAAAGCAGACTATATGACACCTAAAGCCTATTGACCAATAGCATTGCTCAACACCACCACAAAACTACTGTCAGCCATAGTAGCCAGCAACACATCATTCATACTCGAAAAATACCAACTGCTCCCACTGACACACTTTGGCAGAAGACTGGGATGATCAACCAAAGACTCACTGCTCCTGCTCGAAACCACAGTATGGCATGCCTGGCGACAAGGAAAAGTAGCCTCTGTGCTATTCTTGGACATAGAAGGAGCCTTCCCAAATGTGGTCACTGACTGCCTGTTGCACAACATGAGAAAGAGAGGCTTACCACCAGAGATAGTAAAGTACACAGAAAGATTGCTGACAAACAGAAGAACCAAGATATGTTTCGACAACTACGAATCCGAGTGGTTTGATGTGAAGAATGGTATAGGACAAGGAGATCCACTTTCTATGATACTATATGTCATCTACAGCTTGGACCTAGCAGAAATGGCCAATGGTAAAAATGAACTAACACTTGCTTTCGTAGATGACACCGCTCTCATTGCCATAGGAAAAACGTTCGAAGAGACTCACACAACACTAACAAGCATGATGGAATGCGAAGATGGAGCCTACACGTGGTCCAAAAGTCACAACTCCCACTCTGAAACTAGCAAGTTCACCCTCATGGACTTCACACTCAGCAGAAACAAACCCAGACCACCACTAATGCTAAAGGTTCTACCATAAATCCGACATGTACTCACAAGTTCTTAGGTGTAATACTGGACCAGGAACTAAGGTGGAAGGCACAGGCAGCCCAAGTGATAGCCAAGAGAACAAAACAAGCCCTGCTCCTGAGAAGACTGTTGTCAACCTCCTGGGGAATCCCCACAAAACTCATGTGCCAACTCTACCAAGCAGTAGTAGTCCTGAAAGTAATGTATGCCACTCCAGTATGGCTCCATCCAGCCTACTCCTGGAGACCACTCCTCCTGTTTGAGAGGATCGAAAGGCATAGCAAAATGTATCACAACAATCCAAAGAACAGCAGCACTGGCGGTAATGGGAGCCATAAGAACTATGCCTACTGACGCCCTACTAGCACACTGCCAACATACCGCCAGCGAACCCTACTCATTCAACACACATTGTATAAAGCTGCCCTCCACATATCAACTTTACCAGACACACACCCTCTACACCCACACATCAAAAGAACAGCAAAAAGAAATGTTAAATGCCACAGAACTGTGCTCCACTGACTAATCCATGATCTAGAAATCTCTCCAGGCTCAATTGAGATGATCCACCCATGCCCAATACCACCAAGCGCACACCCATCACACTTGACTGTCATCGCTCCCAGCAAAAAAGATGCAATAAGAGACTTTGCACAGACAAATGACCAACATGCTGATATTCACAGATGGATCAAGCATGGAAGGAGGAATGGGAGCAGCAGCCATCCTATATGTCAACTTCAAGCATGTCATCACACTGCATCACCACTTAGGCCTGCCATCAGAACACACAGTGTTCGAGGCAGAAGCAGTAGCACTCCTTCTAGCAGCACACATACTAGCCACCAGAGACAAGGTCACATACCTGGCCTCAGTGCTTGTAGACAACCAGGCAGTCATCAGATCCAGTGAGCGCCCCTCAGCTAAACCAGGACATCACCTACTGTTACAGTTCAGATCGATGATCCACAAAACCCACAATGAAGAATGTCTACCAAGAGAGAGCATCACACTCTGATGGATAGCTGGACACATGGAAGTGGAGGGAAATGAACAAGCAGATAGAGAAGCGAAACTCACAGCAAAAAGAGCAGAAACCACAAGCCCATCAGGAGACCTACCACTGTTCCTAAACAAGCGACTCCCCATCAGGCACCTCCACCCTTAAACAATACCACACCACGAGACTAAAAGTGCTATGGAAGAAAGAATGGCAAAAATCCCCTCGCCACAACCATGTATCCACGATAGACCCCCTACTCCTGGGAGCTTCGTACACAAAACTAGTTGCCTCACTACCCAAAAGACAGGCTGGACTATACATACAACTACGAACAGGACACATACCACTTAACAAACATCTGCACCATTTTAAATGAAGTGACACTCCCATGTGCCTGCAGTGCGGGGAGACCACTCCTGAGGATGTACATCACTTCCTTTTCCAGTGCCCCAGATATGACAGAGAGCAGCACATACTCTGCAATGCACTGGGAAGAGACGCCACATCACTATGCTACATCCTCTCCAATGCAGCAGCACAGTCACACCTGTTCAAGTACATTTCAGCTACTAAAAAGACTACCATAACAAACACCAGCTGAGGTATTCAAATAACACCACAGTAAATGATAAAGCCCAGCACAGGACCAGAATGCTTGTCAGCAGACCAAACATGTACTCAGCATAAACACCACCTGCATTGACACTCACATCCCCCCTCCCCCCACCTGACCAACACACATGAGATTAGATGCATTCCATAAACCAATCACCCTGGCTATAAGCTATAACCTCCTAAAAGTGCCTCGAAGACCACAAAAAAAAAAAAAAAAAAAAAAAACCCACCCTACCATTGCAGACACAATCTCAGCATGTCACAGCAGAGTCACCAAAAGGAGGCAGAAGAGCATGATGCCCATGCTCCAGCTAGCCTTAAAAAGCAGCCAGTTATGTGTAGATAGAATTATCGCCTGACAGAAGTATTAAACCACCCTTACTCCAAGGCGGAGTGTCTAAAACGGCCAGCGGGAACGGCGGACTGGTGGAGGGCCAAAGGCCCTGCCACCAGGGCATTCACTCGCTTGTAAGGGAAGGCAGGCCACAGGGGGCCTCTGGCTAGGTAGATAAACTACGTTCGTATAGTGCGACATAGGGTTACAATTACCCTCAAGCACTTAAAATTCGAATTAAAAAAAAAAAAAAAAAAAAAATACACGATCGGCTTTGTCCTAGCTCACAACGGGCATCTCAATCTGGCCAGAGGCACCCCCCTTCGTGTTGACCTTCTATTCTCTAGTCACCAAAAGTCCTCGATCGGACTGTGCGAGGTACACCGATTCTTTTTACTCGGCTGTCTTTCAGGTAGTTCTCGTTGGATCTCTGCAGTTGATCATGCAATGCTGTGGGTACTGCAGAAGTGTTTGCGCCTAAAAGAAATCTATTATATTAGGCTACGCTCGAACCCGGATAGTGTGCATCCCCGCAGAGTGCCGACAACTCCCCGGAACCGCCCTGTAATCCCACAAAGAATGCGCACCGAGCAGCAGTTTGACGGTAATCGGGAGACACTGTCGCAGGATTCGGAAACTCCTCCAAACAAAGTCGAACATGGCATCAACGAGATTACACAGTTACGTTTCTATTATCACCTCGTTGGCAAGATGGATGTGCATGCTACAAAGATGATATATCAGTCCTTAACACCTACACTTATACATCCGGATGCCCGAACAATTAGGGTTGTTTGTCGCGAGACCCAATCCCGCGATTTCAACGACGTCGCCAGAATTACTTCGTATTTCCTTCCCAATTCGACAAAATGCATGGAACGGTCACAAGTGCTATGTAGAATGGTAACAGTTCAGATTGGCAACATGTGAGTGTCAGTGGGTTCGGCAGCGGCGTCCATCATACTCGTCCCAATTCAGAAGGTCCAACTCAGTTGTTACTTGAAGTCTGCGGTCGAAGTCACCACCTTAATACGTTCGTAATTTGTAGGTCGCTTCCGACCACCTCCAACGGAGTTCAGTTCGTGTGGCAACGTGGACAGCATGGGGTCCTTCAGGGAATTCTTTGTTGTTCAATCATGCTGGTCCCCGAGGCACTTTAGCAAATCCTTGTTCGCGACGCATACCAAAGTTATTCATCGCCATCATTAAACGATGCTCCACGAGAACTCTCCATTTACTGCGACACCTGTCATTTTAGAATCCGTTCATCCAGAAGCAGAAACGGAGACGTATACTAAGGAACGGCGCAGATAACACTCTTGCTTCGAACTTGCCCATTCTTGATGCTTGCTTTCGGAAGGCCACCATACCATGCGGCGAAGGTAGAGAGTCGAATTTAGGCCCCACACAACCTAGGTCGGGTGGGTCGCGTAGCGTTCCTTAGCAATCGTACAATTTGGTTTCTGATGCTAGCATCAAGCCCGAAGTTGAGCTCTCAGATGTCGACCGAGGTAGTCCGCGAAGCGATGCAAATGATGATCAATCGCCCCTCCGGCTACCCCACAACGCAAACACATCCTCAGCGGTATGTGATACACGTGCTCTGCACCGCACCCACACTGACGTTTTGTAACACTTATCAAAGCACGCGGTGCACGAACCCTCTCATCAGAAGCTGGTCATGTCAGGGTGAGCAGGTGTCCCACCGTCCCGAGCGGCCATGCCTGCCTCACCTCCGCGGAGCTGAACGGTCGGCGCAGCCCGACCACCAAAAGGATCTACAGTGTCCGAAATGCGGGAGACGAAGCTGGATCAAGCTACAATATCACAACGCGAAATACCTATCCACCTTCCGTCAAATATCATACATAACGTGCTCCTCCAGCCATGTACGGTCAGCCTCGCTCCAGATCACCACCGGTACCTTAACCTGCCCCGAGGCACCTCCCTTCGTTCTGATCACCCATGCTCTGTAGTCACCAAAAGTCCCCGGTTGGACCACCCGAACGCAAGGTACGCCGATTTTTCCCATTCGACTATCTTTCAGGTAATTCTCGTTGTGTTTCTTCAGTTGATCATGCAAGGCAGCGGGCGTCGCAGAAATGTCTGCGCCTGAGTGAGATTTTGATGTATCAGGGCGCTGCACTCGAACCTGGGCGTGTTACCCGACGGAATATGGAGAAACTTACCAGGATCGCCCTGTAATTCCACAAAGAATGCGTACCGAGCAGCAGCCTGACGATAGTCAGGGGAAACGCAGAACTCAGAAACTCTTCCAAACAAGTCGGACGTGGCATCAACCACATTCCGCAATTGCGTTTCTGTTGTCACTTCGTTTGCAAGGCGGATGTGCATGCTAAGATAACATATCCGTCCTTAATGTGCATATTCATAGATGCCCGAACACTTACTTTCTCCGCTGCAACGAGCAGTCAGATACAATAAATTGACTTGAAAAAATGAAGCGTACCTCAATGTACCTGATAAGGGGTTGTCCATCGCGGGGATCGAATCCCACGATCTCAATGACATCTCCAAGGCGATACCGCCAGAATCCATCTCTCGTTGTTAGAATGACTTCGTATTTCCTTCCGGATTCGACGTTCCACTAATACAAAAGGGAGTCAATGTTTCTTGACGGACAGGCAAGATAAATTGGAACTAGCCGATTGAGCGAGATATTTGGATTCCTCTGGTTCGTCTACAGGTAGGAACTCGATGACGTCATCGGAACCGATAACTTTGTACAGGTTGAGATCCCTTGGATCGTACGCAACGGCCAAAAACGCTTCGCTACTAACAATGGCCACAGATTGAATAGACACATCAGGACCAGTGTAATGCCGGATCTAAGTCGAATGTGTTCAGGACGGGTCACGACTTGGGACGGACAGTTATACCTCTGGGATGAGGGTGGCGAACGGACCACTGGCATTTGCCAGGATGGCACGTAACTGTGGCCAAATCCGCCTGAACCACCCTGGAGTCTCAGTTGCTTTGCCAATCCTGCGCAACTCCTCAGCGCGATCCGGGCTCGGCTGAAGGAAATGCTGTGGAGCACAGAATCGGCGTCTGTATGACGATGCCATCGTCAAGAGGGACACACCTGAAGATTATCCTTCACAGCTTCGATCCCATTTATATCCGGTATCACGCCCGTTTCGATGCAGTGAATGAGATCCTCCCAATGATCCTCAATCGTGCGACATAAGTCCCGGAATCCGGTGGTGAATATGGGGTTGATGGTCTCGAGGTTGGGTTCCACCAATGCAAAGAGAGCATGCATGAAGAGGAATGATTTATAGTCGGAGATAAAGGAAACAGCAATTGGCGACGAGCAATTAGGAACTACAGAGATGGTTACTGGGTCGTTGTGCAGGAGAAGAAATTATGCTGACCCCTTAGAGTGGAAGAGAACGCGTCTCTCTCCACGGGCTGTTAACAGGTATACAGTATTGTGAGTTCAGTTGGAAGGGATGCTTTTTCCTAGTGCAACCTACCATGTTGCTTTCCTTACGGCCCAGTCCACTCGAGAGCAAGCATACAGCAATCTGTTTGGCTATGTTTCCAACCTCATCCACAGGTGTTATGATCTGACGGTATGCAAGGGAGAACGTGATACAGTTCTTGCCTTCCCCGTTCCTGCTAGGCGGGCTAGCACGTCTGATTGTCTCAGCCATCGCCTTCGACATGTGCTCTGGGTGGTGGTATTTCGGGAAGTATTTTGCTGCACCCCCAGAGGTACCCGAGGAGTGGGCAATAAAGACGGGAAGACCAGGCGCCATAAGGTTCTCTACCGACGACTTGTTGCATGGGTGCTCGAAGAAGCGCGAAATAACGGGGAGGTAATCCTCGTAAACGCTCAGTCCTACGTTATTATGATAGACCTCGAACAACTCTGTCGCAGATAAATCCAGGGCGTCTACTTGGCTGCCATCGGTGAGATGCAGTGCAGCCCGGAACCGCGGTAGAACTGCGGATTCCTTAAAGTAGGTAGTTGTAGAGTTGGTCTTCACGAGGTATGACAGTACGTCCAGCGTTTGTTCGCGAAGCCTCTCTGCGAGCTCTGGGGTAAGTGAGGTAATCGGTGCGGGAGGTAGGCCGTCCATATGGTAGGTAGAATCCGTAAAGTAGGTAACCGGCGATGAAAACAAGAACGGGCGCAGAGGGGTTGAGTTGCTTCTGCTATGGCCCGCCAGTGGTCATTTTATAGTGTACGTCTACGCAGCCCCATCGTTTGCGAAGTCCGGTCGGCTCGAGGTGATCGGTAGAGAAGGTGGTGAGACCTTTGCTGTGCAACTTGGATTGGATAGACTAGATATCCATAAAAAGCGAGTATTGACAATTCTGCTGTGCCCGGTCGAAGGGCTAAATTGAATGATATAGACATGTCGCACTGAGGACCTGATTAAATCCTAAAACACTGCACATGGCACAGACGTTTGACATAGAGCACGGATGGAGCGGATCGAGTTATAGTTCCCCTCTAAAGTACCAGGATGGGTTGTCGCTGCAAGCCTGGTAATTATGCAACCGCATGCCTCTGCGTGGTTTTGAACCCGTAGATGTCGAGCGACGATTTCGTGGCTGGCCAGTGTACAGAAACAGGTGATCCGGTCGTCAAAACGGGACAATCCTATGTGTAGATCTCACACCGACCAAGTCTTGCACTCTGCTAGTGTAAGGCTTTGTGAAACGGCAAGTTTCTCAGAACAACCGAGCGTGAGGCAAATCTGAGAAGCAGGATACATCATACGAAGTTAACTGTATACCATACGGCCCCTCGTCAAGAATGCCAACCGTGGATCAATCCATCACGTACCTCACGAGAGACTGCGGAACCTTCTATGGCTCTTATCATGGTCTAGCTGATCTCCGGCGTATGTGAGGCGTGAGGCGCAAGATGGGTGATGTGGTCGGGTATTACTAAATAATTGGTAAAAGCGATGAGTTCAAATAGATAGCAACAATTTACTAATGGCTTATCCCCATTTCCCTTCAACCTCACCCTTGGCGGCAAGTGTTGGAAGTACATATGCTAGGACTCCTTTAGTGTAGTCGACACTCCAAGCGGTGTAAATGAGGGTGACTGGTGGTTGCATCCTCCGAGAGTCCGAACGAAATCGCTTCCGTCCACGTGAAGCTTGATGTGGCACGTCTTTTCGTGATCATTAACCCAAGTAGACCCACAATTTACCTCTTTCAGTCGTCATAGCAATTTGACTAGCAGATAGTTTCGATAAGTCCTTTCCAGTGCACTGTGCCTACATGCTACGAGGATAATGATCGTTCCTTTGCCATGGGTTCACGGCTGTGTTAGCGATGCCATCATAGCATCACTAACACGGCCCTGAACAATGCTAGAAGGTTGAAAGCGATACCCCCGGGTTGGGCCACAGTGAAATTCGAGACTGAATTCAAAGTTGCACGCTCGATATGGCGCGGTCTTGGATCCAAGTTTTGAGGATGCCTGAAAATCAGTGGAATGACAATCGTTACAGTAGTGTCTGGTCCAAAACTCTGAGAAGAGGCCTACTGAGATGCGTGAGACGGGCCGTCCTCCAACCGTTCTTGAAGCTTGAAGTACTACACACGACCTGAGGGAACATACCCACTCGACGTCCATCGGCGACACTTCCTCCCGGGGCTTGGCTTCAATCTGTCTTTGTACATAGTCGTCCATGAACCAAACGTCACAAGCGGTCCCCGGGTGGTCGCGGCTGCACTTGCACTCGCACTACCAGCACCGGAAGTGGGCTTACCTCTTCGGAGTCGCAGCACATCAGGTTTGTCTTCGCTGACGACGAGAGGGTATTTACCCCAAGTTGCCACCTCGAAAACCTAGTCCTCATTTGGTGGTAGACCGGTATGCTTTTCTCGTGTTCAATGTTTTGTCAGAACCAGTGTGCCCAGTGTATGGTCGACAGGGGCACTGCCAGTCGAGGCCCAATCTTTGGCATATCCTTGCTTTCTGGCGAGAATACGAAGCTTCTCCCCTGATATCTTATGAACATGTTTGCGCGAACGGAGCTTATAACTGTATGTTCGTCGCACTTCGTGTTGTTCGCTTGTTGCGTATTCTTATCTTAAACTGCTTCTGAACAGGTACGATGTTCGACCACTACGCACTTGATGTACTACCTATGTACGACCGCGCCAGGAACGATACAGAAAATGATGACTGGGGCATCCGAGCTGCATCCCGCCTCCCTAAGTACGGATACATGAAGGGTACCACATTACTTGGTAGGAACACATCCCACAAGACATCATGTTGACGAGGGCGGGTTCACCGCATTTGCCAGAGACTCTATCCACTCAAGTTCAATAGACAGGCTGTACCGTATCCAGACTAATCCATGAGGTCAATACAGATCTGAGGAGGCTTCGTGCTAACTTAGTTCAGCAACTAGAGATTGTGGAATAATGTTCATTCGTTCAAATACCGAATATCTATTTACCTTCCATCAGATATCATACATAACACGCTCTTCTAACCATGCACGGTCAACCTCGCCTCAGATCACAACGGACACCTTCACATGCCCAGACGCAGCACCCTTCGTCTTGACCTTCCATTCCCTGTAGTCCCAAAGGGTCCCTGGTCGAACCACCCGAACGCAGGGTACGTCGATTTTTCCTAGTCGGCTGTTAAATCTGACTCGTGCGTCCGAACCCGACGGGTGCACCTCAAAGGCGTCCAGTAATGGGGTTGCTGAAAACCCAATCCTCTTCGACATATTCTTCAGCGCCTCAAACTCCGGCATAATAACCTCCTTTGGTGACCTTTACGCTGGATCGCAACGCAACCTGCCATGATTATTGGGTCTTCCTCTGTGAACGCGTCAAGAAACTCTCGCTTGTCAATGACTTTGATGGCGACTTTTCGATGAATCTGGTCCTGCGCATGCCACACGAAACCAAAGGAACCGGATCTGATCTCCTTATCGATCGTGAATGTGTAGTTACCGTGTTATAGAAGAAGAGATCTCGTGGAGAATGACGTGGGAGGGTGTGGGGCTGGACGGGGAGATGACAAAGAACCTGCGATATCATCCTGTCGCACTGGTGGGCGGATGATATCAATAGACACCTGAGCTGCATACGTTTGGCTAGGACGCTGGAACGCACAACGGTGTCCCCTGCAGGAGATAGGTTCTGTACCGGACGCGTGGATGGATATAGCTGGGGGATGTCAAGGGGAGAAGGTCTCACATCTTCATGCGTAGGATCCGAACGCTGTGGCAGAGAATTGCTCCTATTACGGGGCATACTCAATGCGCACGCCGCCACTGGTTCGGGGTCTTTACTGGATGATTCGTCGTGTTGAAGTAGATGCACTTGCGACTGCATCCGGCGATCGGCTTATTGAGCTGGATGAACGCTTCTCGTCATTTAATCAAAAAGGCCTTGCGAAGGCGCTGCTCCTGAGGATCTAAAGAAACGACCGAAGATTCTCCTGATAATAAGCTTCATGGCGGGAAATTGAAGTACGCAGAGCTACAGGTAATGCAAGTGGGGAGAGGTTGGCAACTGAACCTACGAAGCGTACCTTGCTTATATCCTGGGGTGCACACATATTCGCAGAGGATGACAAGTACAAAGCGTTCCACTGTCATAGCGGAGGTCCCAGCAGAGGCACATGGAGACAAAATAAGACAGACTCCTTGCCTCGCGTCCTGTCGCCCTTGGACCTGTACTGCGTCTATGTTCTCCGAGGGGAACCGTCCGGAACGGCCACAAATGCTAGAATGGGAACAAATCAGATTAGCAACCTGCAGGTAGTGAGTCCGCCAGCAATGGGGTGATTGAGGTGAACGAGGTGAAATATACTTGACACATACTCGTCCCAATTCGCAAAGTTAAACTTGGTCTGTCGAACTCAGTCGTTTCGACGCAGTAAATGTGATCCTCCCGATGGTCGCCCAATCGTTTGACATAAATCCCGACATGCAGTGGCGAACACGGTATTGATGGTCTCGAGCTAAGGTTACACCAATGCAAAGAGAGAATGCATGAAGAGGAACTATTTGTAGCTGGAGATGCTTTCCTCGCACGATTGACGGCACGCAAGGGAAAGTATGATACAGTTCTTGACCGCACCATTCTTGCCCTGCCGGCTCACAAGTCAAACTCTCTCAGCCATCGCCTTCGACATGTGTTTTGGGTAGCGGTATTCCGGGAAGTACTCTCCTGCGCCTTCCGAGGTACCCGGGGAGTGGGCAATAAAGACGGTAGGCCAGACGCCATAAGGTTCTCCACCACTATTCTATTGCATGGGTGCTCGAAGAAACGCGAGATAACTGGAAGATAGTCCTCGTAGATGCTCGGTCCTACGTAATTGTGATAGACCTCGAATAACTCTGTCGTAGAGAAATCCAAATTGTCTATCTGGTTGCCATCGGCAAGAGGCAGCGCGGCCCAAAACTGCGGTAGAACGGCCGATTCCTTGGAGTAGGTAGTAGCAAAGTTAGTTTTCACGAGGTACGACAGTACGTCCGACATCTATTCGCGAAGTCGTTCCGTGAGCTCTGGGGTGAACGAGGTGATCGGCGCAGGGGGTGGGTTGTGCATATGATATAGGAAGAATCAGTAGATTAGGAGAAGAGCGATGAAAACAAGGGCACAGCGCAGAGAAGTTGTGTTGCTTCTGCTGCGGCCAGCCCGTGGTCAGTTTTAAGTGTACTTGAACGCAGCCTCATCGTTGGCAAAGTCCGGTCGCCTCGAGGTAATCGGTGTACAGGAACAGGTAATCCAGCCGTCAATCCTATGAATAGATCTCACAGCGACTAAGTCTTGCACTCTGTTAGCGTAGGACCTCCTGAAACGACCAGTTGCTCATAACAACCAAACCTGAAGCAAATCTGGGAACAGGATACAGCATCAGGCGAAGTTAACTGTATACCGTATGGCCCGCCGTCAAGGGTGCCAACCATTGACCACGTACCTCACGCGCGACTGCGATGAGCACATGTGAAGCGCAAAAGGGGGGATGTAGTCGGTTTTCAATTGGTAGAAGCCATCAACTCAAAACGATGGACCTTGTTGCGATTTTCCGTCAACCTCGCTCTTGCAGCAAGTGAACGGCTATGCATAACCACGGACGACAATGTGGTCTCGCCCTCCATACGAAGCTGGACGTGGCACGTCTTTCAGCGATCATCAATACAAGTAGACCCACAACACACCTCGCCATGGATTTCAGCTGGTATAAAAATTTAACTGTCTGGTGGATTTGATAGCTGTGCGTACCGCTACGGGGATAACGATCGTGTCGTCGTCGTACAGAACGTGTTCACTTGTCATAGTTGGGCTAGGGACGCATAGAATGTTAAACACAATACGCCTGGATCGGGATCGAATCCGTTGGATTCGAGACGGGAAGCCAAGTTGCACCGTCAGGGATGCTGTGTCGAGTTATGCGCGGTGCCGCGAGGCTTTTGTTGACGTTCCCGGTGAAAGTCGCCTGTTGATGCGTGAGAACCGGGCATCCTCCGATTCGCTCAGACAGCAACGTCGATGTCCTTGAGTTGCTAGCTACAATCATAAGTCGGGTTGCAACGACGATGCACAAGCGCAAGCACCGGAGAACTGATGACCAAGGAACAGATAAACTTCATACCCACTCGACATCCATCAACGACACCGCCTTCGCGTCTGACTTCGATCCGTCTTTGTACATAGTCGCCCATGAAGCAGACATCGTTAGCGGCCCTCGGGCAGTCGCAGCCGCCCTTGCACTCGAGTGTCCCGAAGCACTTCCTGACGGCGTTGATAAAACCGGTGCTGGTAGTGGGCTTATCCCCTTAGAGCCGCAGCATACCCTTGTCTTCGAAGATGATGACGATGACGGAGAAGGTAGTAATGCCAAAGCACCTCGAAAGCCAAGACCTTCACATCTGCTGGTAGACAGGTACGTCTTTCTCATCCTCAAGATCTTCCCGCGTGTCCAGTTGTCCGATCGACGGGCATACTGCCAGTCGGAGGGCCAATGTCCCGGCGGTGATAGCTTGCTTTGTGATATGAATGTGATAGGCTTGAGTTCTTTTCTTGATACTTTGCGAACACGTTTGCGCGAACGGCGCTTACTGCGTGTTCGTCGCAATTTGTGATGTTCGCCCGTCGTGTGTTCCCATCCTAAACTTCTTCTCAACAGGTACGACGTTCGACTACTACTCGATGTGCTACCCACGCATAACCACCCTGGACCATCACATGCTGCTGCTACTGCCCGCCGGCCCCTCTCGCCAAGTGGGTGGTCGGACCTGCCTTCAGACACAGAAGACACGTTCTTCTTTTCTCCGGAAGAGGCAGAGGATTATCGTCGTGATAAACGCAGGAAACTTATCGACCATGCTAGGGAGGAGCGTATTCGAGCCATTTTGGCCCGCGATCGCGCGAGAGGAGAAACAATGGGTGAAGACTTGGACGTTTGGGGCGGAAGTGACGAAGAGGTGGGTGTGTGTCCTGCGACGATAATTTCCCTACTCTGCCCTTTGGTATTTAAAAACCACTTCGATTAATGAACATATGGTTATATTACAGCCGGACGAAGCTCAGAAAGAACTCCTCCGTCGAACGGCGGGGCACGTCGTGTCGTCACCCAACCCTGCGCAACTAGAGATGCGCATTCTGGCGAACCATGGTGCAGACAGAAGGTTCGCATTCCTGCGAGGGCGTTGGTCGAGAGCATGGAAGGTCGCAAAGGAACTTGCAAGACAAGAACGACGAGACACGGATGAATCTAAGATAGCAGACAGGCCCTCCGGAAGTTCGTCGCTGCAAGGACTAGTAGCCGGATACGGAGAGAGCGGAGAGAGCGGAGATGACCCCAGCGAAGGTGAGGTAGCGGAAGACGAAGCACGGGTGAACGTTTCGAAATCGGGGGTTCACGAATTTGGTAGTACAGACTCCGACGAGGCAGATCGGCAGAAGGCTAGGAGAGAAAGAGCTAGGGAATGGTCAGTGCGACGACGTGCTGAACAGCTCTCTAATGAAGGGCAAGTGTAGCATTCGTGCTAGCTGAACTCCTCGTCACTGTTATGTGAGTTGAGCTGTACATTAAGCTGTGCGTACTCGTGTCGTGCGGGTGTCAATGGTCAATGTAGTTTCATTGCTTGATGTGCTTTCAACTCGTACGCTCGCTCGCTCCACCTATCAAGAAAAGTGACCGAGCCGATAGCATGCCATTCGGTGTGAGAGTGCCGGGTGTATTCAGGATGTCCCTCCAATGTTGCGAGACATCACCTAGGTTTCTTCTCTGATGACCAGTTGCGACAAGTTCATTTGTCTCTGCATAACATGGATGAACCATCATGGAGTGTCAGCACAAGGAACTTGACAGGCAGACAGTGAATAGTGGGGTCCAGGTCCTTGTTAAACTCTTCTGTGGGCCTCGGTGGCTCTGCCATCTTAGGCACCACTTTTTAGGGGAGATTCTATTTCCACCAGGCTTGCATTAATTATATATTAGCCCTCCAGGCACTCCTGGACACATGGGGCAGAGACTCGTGATGCAGCTGGTTGCAAAATATACAGAAAATATACATGTCCTTTCAGTACTGAAAGCCAGGCAGAAAGAGTGATGAAATGAAAATGTCCTTTCAGTGTGGAAAGTCAGGCAGAAAGAGAGAAATTATACATCTCCTTTCAGTATGGAATGTCAGGTGGAAACAATGCCATTCTTGGCTGTCGAAATACATATAATAGTGAGGGACAAGTAACAGAACACTCATGAACCTGAAGAGCATCAATGCACATTGCATGCCACAGATCATTATTCAGTACCACATTATGATGTCCTGAATGCATACTCAGCATAAAAACTCATAGCAATCATGCCATTGTCACTGGCACCAACATCATTGACATACAAGTGGTGCATGCCACTGTGCATGATTTTCAAGCACATGCCCAACTACATATAGAAAAAAGGGTACTGTAGGCAACCTCAGTAGTGAACGATCTACTGATATATATTAGATATACCTGTAGGCAACTACAGGAAATCAGTAAGTAGAATACTGCTAAAGAATGGTAATCTTACCCTCAGTAGTGAACAATCTACTGAGGGAACAGTGTAATGACTGTGCAGTAAGTATGTTTATTCTGGAAAATTTGCAGGTGGCTGTGCCCACAGCCACTGCAAATGCATGGGTAGCCTGCTGACTAAGTGAAGGGTGCACATGTAAGAAAGTGAGGGTCAGGTGACTTGCAGGCATCAGGAAGTGAAAAAATGGTTTAAACCTGTTTAAACCTGTCACTGACTGGTTGTGACTGCAATTCCATCATTCCCCAACTCTCTGATGGGCTGTGCACAACCCTTGCCTGTTTGTCAGCACTCAATTCAATGCTACTGAAAGACACTGTACATAGGCTGTGTAACCATGCATGAAATAAATGGGTATTCTGCAAAGAGACCCACCCAAATTTGCTAGATGAGTGGTGTTTGGGTGTGGGAAGCAGTCACGTGACTGTGACCTTTGCATGGCATTTGTGCTTGGGGCTTGGCTGCATGCATGCAAATGTGCAGTTGCAAAAAAATTGGCATGGGCCACCCTCCCACCTGGGAAAATTTGCTTATCTGGCTGCAAATTTCTTGGTGATCAGTGACTTAGCACACTTTACAATGAATTTTGCACTTTACAACCTGTTCCCAAAGCAAATTTCCCACTTTTTGTTAGCTAAGAGCATAGATAAACATGTGTAGGACATGAACAGAGTTCCTCAGCACCCTCTTGAGCCATCCCACCTGAGCCACAATGGTGTGATGCCCAGCAGGACCCACCAAAATGCTTGACCACCTTCCCTGCCCCCCCACCTCAGGGCAGTATTTCCTTTTAAGGCAGTTCCCATGGCATTGCCACCTGCAAATTTTTCATGCTAAGTGCACTCTAATGGCTTATGTAAGCAGCCAAACATCGCACCAAAAGAAGTGAGAAGACAGGGGAGAACATATCTCCAACACTATGTGCTTCCAGGTGGTCTGCATGATGATGCATAGTGTAAGGAGCAGAAAACCCCACCTTACTGCAAGACCTACCAAGAGCCAAAGGAGACCTATGCATGTGACTGGGGCTCCAGTCTGGTATGATCGGCAGTCACAAAGAGTTTACAGACCTGGGCCTTGTCATATCCATGACTCTCAGACTCAATCCTGGTTCAGTCCAGACCCCTAGCCCCTATCTCTGGTCAAGTCTGGTCCTAGTCTGGCCTAGAAAACCCAACTCCAGCCCTAGATGACCCAACTCCAGCCTAGATAACTCAAGTCCAGTCTTTTACCCCTATCTCCAGTCACTCTGGCCTCCCAGCCTTGTGCTGCTCCACCCTGGTCCTCCCAGGTCCATGTCTAGGTCACCCAGACATAGCTCCAGTCTGTTTTCCATTGCTTGTGCTATATTTAGTCTAGTCCTTTCATCTGACTTTTGCTTACTGTACAAATCCTGTGTCCAACCCTGGTTATGCCAGTTACCTGGACTTAGACTATTAGTCTCAGCACAGCCTCTGTGGCTGTCCTACCTTGCTAATCCTCTTGCTAATAGCTTACCAACAAGTCCAGCTCTATGTTCATTACCCTGGACCAGCCTCACATATTTATCCCATGTACATACTTCATAGCACTCCAGTCAGAATATGTAAAGTTGTAGTTGGGATGTCTCAAGCTCATGCACACAAAATGTACCATATAGTATTTGCACAGTAAGATGTGGAGACAAAAAAAGATATCTATCTAAAATTTTTGAGACAACATTTATATATGAGGAGGTATGCAATACTGAGGTATTGCATACACATACTAAGTAGCTCCTATTTTTGGGGCATAACCCCTAACACCCTCCCATGCAGAGCTGACCCAGGCTCAGAAAGCAAAGAAATAATGGGAAAAGAAAGAGATGAGGAGAAAAGAAAAAAGACAATTGCACAAAGGTTAGGCTTCACAAACTAATACTTTGAGGGTTAGGCCTCAAAGTCCAAATGCAGAGAGGGGGTGTTGAACCCAATCCTTTAATCAGGGAGTTGAGTCTCCAGAGGGAACACTCCCTCACATTTGTGACCTATCCTCATCCTTGAACAGGTTGTCAGTCATTTCACCCTCCTCAGGCTCAGAGTCTTTAGCAGGGGGGTTTCCCCTGACAGTGGATGCTCCCCCACAAGGACAGTGGGGAAGGTTTTAGATAAATGCTGCAGAGGCAAATGTGGAGATGATCTGCTGATCATCAGCCCATAAGGGCATGTGACCTGGAGGGACCTGGTTGATGGTGCAACCAATGGCTTGAGCCTGATGCTCATACCACTCCCTTGATCTGACATCGCTTGGGGGGCAAGGTTTGGTGAGAGCCTCCCTCAGGGGCTTGATTTTTGCCATAACCTTGGACTTGTACCATTGACCCTCCTTCTTTTACTGCAACTCATGAAATCATCTCTCTAGCTCAAATGGTCATTTTGTCAAGGAATTCTTATCAAATACTGGTGGACACCACAGTGCCATCAGTAGAACATGCTCTCAGAACCATCAGTCCCTTAAAAAACCTGCTGTCAGTCATTCCCTGGACTGTTTCCCCCCACATGCCTGATGTGTTCTGGGACTAATCAGTGCTTGGAAGGCTGAGAATGTTTTGGAGGTCAATCTGGCACTTCAGAACATGATGGATAAACCCGTCCCCTCTCAACCAATGCATTTCTGGCACAGGGACAGTGGTATGGAAGTTGGGGTGAGACAAACCCTCCTTGTGCTCTGGGCACCATAAGAGGGTTCACTAGACCTTGCTCTGATTTGAACTGTAGATGACTAGGGAAGGATTATTTGGTCATATGTCACCAAAGGCAATATGCAGGGCCAGATGGAAGCACAGGAGTCAGCTCCATGGCAGTTCAGTAGCATATCCTTCTGATGACACCCAGGGGTAAAGAGGATTTTGTCTTGCCCCAACTTCCATACCACTGTCCCTGTGCCAGAAATGTATTGGTTGAGAGGGGACTGGTTTATCCATCATGTTCTGAAGTGCCAGATTGACCTCCAAAACATTCTCAGCCTTCCAAGTACTGATTAGTCCCAGAACACATCAGGCATGTGGGGGGAAACAGTCCAGGGAATGACTGACAGCAGGTTTTTAAGGGACTGATGGTTCTGAGAGCATGTTATACTGATGGCACTGTGGTGTCCACCAGTATTTGATAAGAATTCCTTGACAAAATGACCATTTGAGCTAGAGAGATGATTTCATGAGTTGCAGTAAAAGAAGGAGGGTCAATGGTACAAGTCCAATGTTTGTCATTGTCATTATTTACATGCTGACAAATCATCTCTAAGATCATGTGGTCTATTATGTAATCATATTTTCCCATCCTTCATGCCCTCAATCCCATCAAAAGGTCACTTTTCACTATTTCACCAGTCAGGGACAAAAGCATTGCAATGCACTTTTCGGAAAGAATAGGGTGTATCTCAGCATGTAATGCTTTGTTTGGACTGAACCTTAGTGCTCTGGAAAGCTTAGAGTCACCCCTTTCCAATGGCATAGGTATCATAATTATCTGTGCAGAATAGCCTGAGCTACATTGGCAGCAAATCACACCTCACAGACATTGCAACACTTTTGTCCCTCACTGTACTATCTACCTTGGACAGAATGTGGTGTTCAGTTATTTTTAGGCTTCTTTGATCTTTATCTTTTTTATGTTATTTTATTTGAGTATTATTTTTATTTGACTTTGTTTTTTCTCTGAGTCTGTTTGGTTCCATTAGTAGTACACAACTACTTGTAGCCACTAAGTGGCTACTATGCATTTGTGTGTATCTGGTGCCTTGCAAGGCAGCTGGTGTACATTCCATATGCCTTGAAGTTTGAGGTACCTGTCTAGGGCCTCAAGCTTCTTGCAGTGGGATGTTGGTTCCCATGTGCAGTCTCCCAGATTCCACTTGACAAGGACTTCTACCTTGTTATCAGACCACCAGTGGGTGAGTACCTCATCCACTATCCATTCATCATCATCAGTCATACTGACATTGTAGAAGGCATGTGCATCACATCTTGGAAACAGTAAGTTGTCATTTGGCTTGTACTTGCACAGAAGCCCAATGTGAAACATTGGGTGTATGCATCTTGTGTTTAGTTTCTCTGGTAGCTT